TGCCGCTAAAAACCCAAACCATATTCGACATAACGCCAGGACAATGCGACGGAGGGGCATGCCTTTTGCAGCTTGTGAAGACGCCGGGATCAACTCTTCCTCCGCTACTTAATGCTATTGAGGGTTACACCGTGATTGATTTCCCGCAAATGGAGACAAATGAAGATGACGGTATGTTTATTTATATTTTTTTTGTAGTTCTTGATTTTATCTACAAATGTTTTGCATTTTGTGTGTTGATTCTTGATATCATCATGGCTTTACAATGGCAGTTGCTGGTATCAAGAATGTTCAAGAAACTTATGGATTGAGTAGGACCAGTTGGCAAGGAGATCCATGTGTCCCCAAGCAGTTTTTGTGGGACGGTCTAAACTGCAATAACTCAGATATTTCTACGCCACCAACAATCACTTCTTTGTAAGATGTGTATTTTGTGATAATTTATATTGTTTTTTAGTCCATATCAATTTCAAAATACACATCTCACACTTCATTTCTTCAGAGATTTATCTGCAAGTGGATTAACAGGGATCATCACGCAAGCCATTCAAAATCTTACTCACCTGGAAAAGTTGTAAGTATATCTCCACGACTGATCAAGCCTTATATTTGTTTCGCCTTTGGAAATCGAATCGTATTTAACTCCTTTCTTTCCCTTTATTTGGTTAATGGTAGGGACTTGTCAAATAACAATTTGACGGGAGAAGTACCTGAATTTTTAGCTAACATAAAAACACTCTTGGTCATGTAAGTTTTTCACGAGAGATTGTTTTCTTCTTTCTTTCTCTTGGTTAAGCTTTCTCCTAAACATGATTGCTTATGTTATGTTTTGAATCTTTATCTACTGTACCAGAGACTTAAGTGGTAATAACTTCACTGGCACGGTTCCTCCCTCACTTCTTCAGAAGAAAGGAATGATGTTAAAGTAAGCTATTTTTTTTTTGTCTTTCGATTATTTTCGTGCCAATTAATGTACTATTTGGTTGGTATATATCTTGAAAACACTCACATTTTGCAGTGTTGAAGGAAACCCTCATCTTCTTTGCGAAACTGGTTCATGTGTGAACAAAGGAGAGGCTGGAAAGAAGAAAAAGAGTATCATTGTACCAGTGGTTGCATCAATTGTTTCGATAGCTGTTCTTGTAGGTGCAATCGTCTTGTTCCTTGTTCTCAGAAAGAAAAAGGCATCAAAGGTTCAAGGTAACTAATAAATAAACTCAATAGTAACATCACAACATACATATATATCAAATTTAACTAACTAAGTCAGGCTAAACTTTTTTCCCTGTAATCTTAGGGCCAGCACCATCATATAAGCAAGCCTCAGATGGTAGATCATCTGAACCGGCAATAGTGACAAAGAATAGAAGGTTTACTTACTCAGAAGTTATGACAATGACAAATAACTTCCAAAGAGTCCTTGGGAAAGGAGGTTTTGGAATCGTTTATCATGGTTTTGTCAACGGTACAGAACAAGTAGCTGTTAAAATGCTCTCCCATTCATCATCGCAAGGATATAAAGAGTTCAAAGCTGAGGTAAATTCTCACCGTCATCAATGATTCACTTATTTTGTAAAAAACTTGAACTTGTGTATTATGGCTTGGTGTTTTAGGTAGAACTTCTTCTTAGAGTTCATCACAAGAATCTGGTAGGTCTTGTTGGGTATTGCGACGAAGGAGAGAACTTGGCTCTTATCTATGAATACATGTCCAATGGAGATTTAAAGGAACATATGTCAGGTAAAGAAAAAAGATGATTACATATCTTGTTTCAGTTATATGTAGGTAACACAAGACTTTAACATCATTCTTCTAAAACACAGGAGCACGTAACCGCTTTATATTGAATTGGGGAACTCGACTAAATATAGTCGTCGATTCGGCACAAGGTTAGTTTAAAAAGATTACAGACCATAATGTTTGTTGTTTTGTTATTTGTTAACATCTTCTAGGAAACTTATCAAAAACGAATGTTGTGGCCTAGGACTTGAGTACTTGCATAGTGGATGCAAACCACCAATGGTTCATAGAGATGTCAAAACTACAAATATATTGTTGAATGAACACTTCCAGGCCAAACTTGCTGATTTTGGACTTTCGAGATCATTCCCAATCGAAGGTGAAACTCATGTGTCAACAGTTGTTGCTGGAACTCCTGGATATCTTGATCCTGAGTAAGTATAATTAATAACTACTAAAGAAATTCTCTTTTCTCTTTAGTGAGAAAGAGACTTGACAAAAAAAAAATTCATATATTTTGTTTTCCAGGTACTACAGAACAAACTGGTTGACAGAGAAGAGTGATGTTTATAGTTTTGGGATTGTATTGTTGGAGATGATCACAAACCGACCCGTGATAGACCAAAGCCGTGAAAAGTCACATATAGCAGAATGGGTGGGAGTAATGCTGACAAAAGGAGACATCAAAAGCATTATGGATCCAAGTCTCAATGGAGATTACGATTCTGGTTCTGTGTGGAAAGCTGTTGAACTAGCAATGTCTTGTCTCAATCCTTCTTCAGCAAGAAGACCAACAATGTCTCAAGTTGTTATTGCATTAAACGAGTGTATTGCATCTGAAAATGCAAGAGGAGGAGCGAGTAGGGAAATGGACTCGAAGAGTTCTATAGAAGTGAGCTTGACCTATGGTACTGAAATGAGCCCAGCGGCTCGATAGATTATATGAAGAATTATCCTGCGGTACCACTTGAATTCTTGTTTATCTGTTTCTATTTTATGGATATACCTTCAAATTTGTATGTCTCTGTCAGGTAACTTTTGTAATGAGCTATGAACTTCTGTCATTGATACACGTGAATAAAAGTTCAAAGTCTCACTTTTTTCCCCTTCATGTGTCAGTTGAGAGAATCAGTTGATTTGTTGTTTGACAAATAGATTGTTTATTGAAGGGTTAATTTGGTAGATGACAATATTGAGTGTCAAAATTAAGAATATAGCCATTACAAACTCAAAATTAAGTAAGTAACAAAGAGAAATATTTTTGGACGATTTTGCCCTTGTCTAAAGAAAATGGTATTATGCTCTTTATTTTTCTATACGATTTTGCCCGATCTTTGCCTTTGTCGAAGCTGTTTTGTTTTCCAACAGACTTTCGATCGAAATTGAAAACCCAAATTCTTGATTTTTGCATTCGAATGCACTCGTTTTTGGTGGTTTTAGGTTTGTGATACTATTTCAGTGTTTCTCACATGGTTCTATTTCTCAACGAAATTTTGACCTCGTTTGGGAACAATACATGTTTCTCTCTCATATGAGGGATAGTTTTGGTATTATTTCATAAAATACAGACTATATTCTAGCCATCATGTTATTATTGTTAGTTTGTTAATTTCATGGTTTTTTATTTTTTATTGTTAGTTACTGCAATTTCCCTTTATTGAATATGAATGTAATTTTTGTGTGTGTGTGTTATAAGATGATTACAAGAAGTCTTTATGTATACAAGAATGAGAATAATCAGAAGGGTAATTAAAGGATAATGAGTGAGTGATCTAGGGATGTGATATCTTGATTGATATCCTTAACAGTGTTACTCTGTTACTCTTGTTCTGATTAGTTTTGAAAATCCAATTTTGAAAGAGAAAATAGAAGGTGAAGATAATGAAGATAATTGTTATTTTACTTAGTTCGAGTGACGCTATTATGTTATCTAAGGGAGGGTTATATAGCCAAAGAAAAATTGCTTCACAAAGTAAAAAAAAAAAAAAAAATTGCTTCACAAAGAAGCAAAACGGAGAAGTTCTCTGTCTGCTTAAATAAAAACAATTCAGAGGATTTTTTTTTTTTTTTTTTTTTTTTTTTTTTTTTTGGGTAAAAAGAGGAAACAGATTTATCAATGAATATGGGTTGATATGAAGAAAAAAGGGCGCGAAGACAGTCGGTAAACAAGTCAATTACTTAGCCATACGAAAATGAAGAAAGTTGAGGTTTCAGTCGGATAATTAAGTAGCTACATGTATGTATCATCATTTATATCTTATAGGCTTTCTTATGTCTGTCATGTATGATTGTATATCTATCATTATTTGATATGGACCATATAGTTCGCCAATTGACGCTATATAATGAGATTTTTTCTTTTTTTTTTTTTTTTTTTGATCAACAATGAGATTTTTTCTATTTGATAATATTTCAACTTGTTTCTTGTTTTGAACTTTAAGTCTTTAATAGTGCAACTGCACGGCTGCTGATCTGTTTATTGAACAGCCATATAAATGTAAGATTATTATATATTGTAATAACCAAGTTTATATCTAAAATTTCAACTTGAATCCACCATCCAACGGACCACGGCCATAAGTTTAAGGGTCCACCTTAAGTTTGGACCACGGTAGCCAGATCCCTCTAAAACTGCAAAACTTTGTTTTTTTTCACCAAAAGATCCAAAACCATGATGATATCGCGTTTTCCGCAAAAATGCGGAATCACATTTTTTTCTGCCAAAATTGAAAATTGTAAAAATCTATTTTCTCCCAGAAATCGCAGAATCTCTTTTATTTATTTAAAATTGAATTTGGGAAATATTTGAATTTTAAATGATTTTTAAATTATCTCAGTGCAAAACCTAATTTCAGAAACGAATAATTTCTAGATTAAAAAAAACATTACTTTCTTTTTTGTGACGAACATTACTCCTTCGACTATGGATGTTCTTTGGCGGGCAGGGCGAGGGAGAAGACGAATAGCGTCATTGCATGTAGTTTCCATTCCACCAATAGCTTCAGTTGCCGTTTAATGCACGTCTCCTCTGTTTTATTGCATGTCGTCCAAGTCTACACCGACATTTGAGCGTGTTCGTTCCAAGTTGACTTAGTCAACGGTTTTGTGGTACTGAAGGACATGAAAGAGCTTTCCATCCACCACCCTAATTACTCTTGTCATTTTCTCTCAACTTGTTCGCCGTATCATTTTGCACCGTGAAACTATTATCCTCAATTAATACTATCCGATTCATTAGAAAAATAAGGAGTTGACTAAGGACTTTTGAGAAGTTGCTCATATACTCATAAACTCATATGCATAACTTGTTATCCCCCAAAAGAAAAGAAACTCTTCTTTCCATAGTAAGGAGAAGAAATGGAGAGATATTGTGTGCTCATCGCCACGTTCATGCTGATACTTCATCTTGTTCAAGCTCAAAATCCAACCGGTACGTTCAAAAATGTTATTTTTAGATCTATACTCCGTATAATATATTTGTGTGTTTTTCAACGGTTTCTTAGTTTTTTTTTTTTTTTTTTCATTTATGCTGATCTCATTTAGGACTCATCAATGTGGGTTGTGGTTTATCCACTCGCGAGCCTCCTTACCGCGCACCCGGAACCGGTTTTACATATACATCAGACACCGGTTTAGTTAACAGTGGTGAAACCGGTAAAATCGCCAGGGAATTTGAAGCGAACTACTCCAGGCCGTTTCTGACGCTGAGATATTTTCCGGAAGGAGTACGTAACTGCTACAGTCTAAATGTCAGCCGCGGCACCAAATATCTGATCAAGGCCAAATTTGTATATGGAAACTACAATGATCAAAACATCGGTCCAGACTTTGACCTTTACCTGGGTCCGAATTTATGGACAACGGTGACTAAAAATGACAGTATACAGGAGATCATCCACGTAACAAGATCCGATTCTCTACAGGTATGTCTTGTTAATACGGGGAATAGTATACCTTTCATAAATGTCTTGGAGCTACGACCGTTGCCAAAATCTGCGTACGTTGCTCAGAGCGGCTCACTGAAATTCTTATTCAGGAGGTATCTTAGCAATTCAGGCCGTACTATACGGTAAATATATGTCTTCATTGGTTGTTAATTTTTGTTTGCATCTACCTTCAACAGTTTTTGCATTTGAAACGATGGAAAGCCTTTAATTAGTTATATAAGTAATGTGGTCTACTACAATATTGTGGCAGGTATCCAGATGATATCTATGACCGTGAATGGCACGCACTGTTCTTGGAGAACACATGGGCACAAGTAACAACGACTCTGAATGTAGACGTTACTAATAGTGATGAAGTACCACAAGATGTCCTAGCAGCGGGCGCAACACCTCTAAACGATACAGAGACATTGAAGATTAACTGGGATTTAGAGCCTCCTACTTCAAAGTTTCACTTCAACATGTACTTTGCTGAGCTTCAGACTCTAAAGGCCAACGAGACAAGAGAGTTCAATGTGACACTGAATGGGAAAATTATATATGGACCTTATAGTCCTGTACTGCTAAAAACCGATCCTGTACTCAAGAGAGAACCATTTGAATGCGCTGATGGGGCATGTCTTTTGGAGCTTGTGAAGACGTCGAAATCGACTCTTCCACCTCTACTTAATGCTATCGAGGCTTTCACCGTGATGGATTTCCCTCAAATGGAGACATTTGAAGATGACGGTATATATGTTGATTTCACATTCTTGATCTTAAGTTGTGTGTTGATTCTTGATATCATCATGGCTTTTACAATGGCAGTTATTGGTATCAAGAAGGTTCAAGATGCTTATGTATTGAATAGAACTAATTGGCAAGGAGATCCATGCGTCCCTAAACAGTTTTTGTGGGACGGTCTAGGCTGCAAGTACTCAGATATTTCTACTCCACCACTAATCACTTCTTTGTAAGATTGATCCTTCAACAAGTTATCTCACTAGGTTTATATACCATGTCAGTTTCGAACTAGCTATCTCACTTTTTTTATTTATGTCTCTAGAGACTTGTCTTCAAGTGGATTAAGTGGGAACATCTCGCAAGCCCTTCAAAATCTTATGCACCTGGAAGTACTGTAAGTATCTCCACGGCTGATCAAGCTTTTTGAGCTTTTGGAAATGGATCTTGTTTGATGGGTTACTTCTACTTTGTTAATGGCACGTAGGGTCTTGTCAAATAACAGTTTGACTGGAGAAATACCTGCATTTCTAGCTGACATGAAATCACTCATGGTCATGTAAGTATTTCATGACACACTACAAACTTTGACTTTTTCTTTTGACTAAGCTTTTTCCTAAACATGATTGATTAATTTTCATTTTAAATCTCTTTATCTATTCCAACAGAGTCTTGAGTGATAATAATTTATCTGGCTCTGTTCCTCGCTCACTTATTGAGAAGAAAGGACTGATGTTACAGTAAGCTATATTCTTCTTTTTTCCGATTATTATCACGCCAATTAATCTACTGTTTTGGTATATTAAAACACTCACATTCTGCAGTGTCAACAACAATCCTCATCTTAGTTGCACAACTGGTTCATGTGTAAACGAAGGAGAGAATGTACCACGTAAGAAAAAGAGTATCATAGTACCAGTGGTTGCATCAATAGCTACAATAGCTGTTCTTATAGGTGCATTAGTCCTGTTCCTTGTTCTCAGAAAGAAAAAAAAGGCATCAAAAGTTAAAGGTAAGTATCAATAAATAATCTCTAGAGTAATATCAAAACATACATACACATGAAACGTTAACCAAATTTTGGATTGTAAAATTAGGGCCACAACCATCTTATATGCAAGCATCAGATGCTAGATTGTCTCAGCCAAAGAATAGAAGGTTTACTTACTCAGAAGTTATAACGATGACAAATAACTTCCAAAGAGTCCTTGGGAAAGGAGGTTTTGGAATCGTTTATCATGGTTTTGTGAACGGCACAGAACAAGTAGCTGTTAAGTTGCTCTCCCATTCATCATCTCAAGGATATAAAGAATTCAAAGCTGAGGTAAATTACTCTAACTGCGCCACTTCTTTAAACGAAATAGTCTATGATTCAGCTATCCTTAATAAAATAACTTTTCAACTATGGTTTAGTTTTTAGGTAGAACTTCTTCTTAGAGTTCATCACAAGAATTTGGTCAGTCTTGTTGGATACTGTGACGAAGGAGATAACTTGGCTCTCATTTATGAATACATGTCCAACGGAGATTTAAAGGAACATATGTCAGGTAAGTAGACAAACATAACCCTAGTGTATTGTTGTATCTTTATGGTGATATCATAAGATTTTGACATCCATCTCTCTCCATTCAAAAACACAGGAAAACGTAACCACTTTATATTAAATTGGGGAACTCGACTAAAAATAGTCATCGAATCTGCACAAGGTTGGTTTATACATTGATTATCATTTGAGACTTTTTTCCTTATGTTTGTTTCTTTGCCTTTCATTTGAGACTTTGACATCAAACCTTTCTGATTTTTTGACATAGGACTTGAGTATTTGCATAATGGATGCAAACCACCAATGGTTCATAGAGACGTCAAACCCACAAATATATTGTTGAATGAACACTTTGAGGCCATACTTGCTGATTTTGGTCTTTCGAGGTCATTTCCAATCGATGGTGATACTCATGTGTCAACGGTTGTTGCTGGAACTCCCGGATATCTTGATCCCGAGTAAGTATAACAACATTTTGAGAGATTCTCCTTTTTTCTTCAGTGAGAAAGAAGATTGATAAAGTCTATCTTCTATTTCTTTCTTCAGGTACTACAGAACAAACTGGCTGACAGAGAAGAGTGATGTTTATAGTTTTGGGATTGTATTGTTGGAGATGATCACAAACCGACCTGTGATCGACCAAAGCCGTGAAAAGCCACATATAGCAGAATGGGTGGGGTTAATGCTTACAAAAGGAGACATCAAAAGCATTATGGATCCTAGTCTCAATGGAGATTATCATTCTGGTTCTGTTTGGAAAGCTGTTGAACTAGCAATGTCTTGTCTTCATCCTTCTTCAGCAAGAAGACCGACAATGTCTCATGTTGTTATTGCGTTAAACGAGTGTCTTGCAGCTGAAAACTCAAGGGGAGGAGCGAGTAGGGACATGGACTCGAAGAGTTCTATAGACGTGAGCTTGACCTATGGGACTGAAGTAACCCCAATGGCTCGATAGATTACAAGAAGACATCTGTTTACTGTTTATATTTTATGATAAGTTTTTAAAATTTATGTGTTTTTTTTCTTAGCATGAACTTCTGTTATTGATACATGTGAATATATGTTCATAGTCTTTTCTTTTTTTTGTCTCCCCGTAATGTGTAAATTCAGAATCAGTTAATTTGTTGTCTGACATATAGAGTCTTACTCTTGTTCTTGAATAGTTTTGAAAAGCGAATTTCCAAAGAAAAAATAAAGAGGCGAAGATGAAAAAATATATCTGTTTTACAACAGAGTAACAAAGTTAAACAGATATAGAAAAAAAAAATTACTAAGGGCCTGACTGGTTTAACCGCTGCGGTTGCGGTTGCGGGTGCGGGAGTTTGCGGAAGCGGGCGGTTGTGATTAGTAGCGTTATTAAGCGGTTTGTACGACTGGCATAACAATTGAAAATGGATGCGTTTGCGGGTTACTTATGACTGGTTCACTTGCGGATGCAATAGCGGTTAAACAATAAATTAATAATATAAACACATTATATAATTATAAAAATATCAAAAATATATTATAATGAAAATTTTAAATTTATGGTTCAACATAATTAAAAATAATTTTTTTATAAAGAATAATATGTGTATAATACTTACGTCTATCTTTTAATTTCTATAATTTAAATAAAAATGTGATTTTATTTTCAAAATATATATTTAATGTGAAAATTAAATTTATTTTACAATTTTATTTATTAGATATATATGTATTAGTATGAAAAGAATATTTATCAAGAGAATTTTGATTTGTAGAACTTATAAATATATAAGTATTATATGATTTTAATGAATATTGACTAAAAGTACTAATTTTTTATTTATATTGTGATTTTATTATCCAAATCTTATTTTTTAATAAATATTATTATTTATTTTCGGATTTTATATAAGTTTGTGTTTTTTTTTTTTTTTAATTATCCACCCGCAACCGCCCGCAACCGCAAACGCTTGCGGAAAGGAGCTTTTGATTTTCAGCGATATAGAGCGGTTCAAAGTGGTTGTCGTGATTGTTATAAACCGCCGAAAACCGCTACGAACCGCAAACGCTGCGTTTGCGGGTGGTAGCGGGAGAACCAATCAGGCTCTAAGAAAAACAGAGGAAACAGAGAGTCCTAGGACCGATTTGAATAAAAAAACGAGACTAAAAATTGTCTGCTTCTTAAAGCACTGACTTTTATCACTTTTGTAATCGTTTTAATACATATGATTTCTGTCCTAGAAAGAAAGGACTTCTTTGAAAAGTCGTTTAAGGCACACAAATACTGTACCGAAAGCTATCCATTGTAGAATTTCTTATTATTGGTGATATTATTAGTAGATGACATGTTCTGGTTTCAAACATTCAAGTGACAGCTACAACCAGCAGTCAAAATATAAATTATGAACGACTAAAAGATTGTATGCGAACAATGAAATTGTCTAAACAACAGAGAACAAAGCATGTTAAAGTTTCTCTTCGGAACTTGGTGAACACGCTTCCTCTTTTGTTCTTTTGGTTCCTTTTGAGAAGAAACTTACCGACCTAAAAGTCTAAAACACTTCATTTTGTTTGTGTCAGTTCGATTTGATTTAGTATGGTTTGGTTTGGGGTTTATGCTCACTCCTACTTTCATCGTTATTATGATCTTGATGCAAAATACAACGTGTATGTCTAGAGTAAACGTGAGGGCTTTAGGAAGACAAAGTTGTTGGAGTTGAATTACTCGTTGGGACAATACTCAATAGTCTTTCTCGTTAAGGACATGGAATAATCTTCGAGCACTACTACTATTTGTCTCTTCTTTTTAAAATTAAAGTAGTCTCATCTTGCTCTCTGCCGGCATAAGTAGTTTATTTTCCTTCAGAAGATGACTTAAATTAAACAGAACTTAGGATGACGAAGTTTTTAGGGTTGAATAACTCAATGAGTCAATTGTCTTCTCTTGAGGACATGAGAGAACCTTTGAGCACCACTACTCTTTGTGTCTCTTTTAAGATTAATTTTCTCCCATCTTGCTCTCTGCCGGCATCATGTTGCAGCAGAGAAATTATTATATTTCAGTTACTCAATGAGTTTTTTTTTCCGTCAACTCAATTATGTGTTTTTAAAAACGCCCATTTGAGAAATGATTCAAATAGTTATCCATGGATTGATATCAGTTTATTAGACGTTGAAATCTCCTTTTGGAAAGCTGAGCAGAAAAATGGAAAGACATTACGCATTTTTTGTGATTTTTTTCCTTATACTATATCGTCTTCAAGCTGATCCAATAGGTACCTACACATTTTTTGTTATGATATGATCTATACTCCTATATATGTATGTTCAAACTGATCATGATCCCAATTTTGTTTTGAGTTTATTAAGTTGGTCTCATAAATGTCTTACTATAGGATTCATCAATGTGGATTGTGGTTTGTCCATTCAAGAATCTCCTTATCAAGAATCATCTACCGGACTAACATATACATCAGATGACGGTTTAATCCAAAGAGGAAAATCCGGAAAAATCGCGAAGGAATTCGAACCATCGTACAATAAACCGGAGTTGACGCTTAGATACTTTCCGGACGGAGTACGAAACTGCTACAATGTGAATGTCACAAGGGGCACAAAGTATCTAATCAAGACTTCCTTCGTATATGGAAACTATGATGGTCTTAATCTTGTTCCCGATTTCGATCTTCACATTGGTCCGAATTTGTGGTTAACGGTGAAGGCTGATGATTCTATCAATGAGCTCATCCACCTTTCAAGATCTAACTCTTTGCAGGTGTGTCTGGTTAAGACAGGAGCAAGTACACCTATGATAAATTCATTGGAACTACGACCACTGAAAAATGATATATACATCACTGAAAGTGGCTCGCTCAAGTACCTTTATCGAGCATTTTTTAGCAATTTAAAGGGCTATATAGAGTAAGAATCCACACACTTAGTTATTAATATTATATGTTTTTTAGAACTGATATTACAAAATTTTCTCTACGACTAGTAACTTTTCTAGCTGTGTATAATTGTTGGGAATTAGGTACCCCGATGATGTCTATGATCGTATATGGCATCAGATCTCACCTTCGAAGGAGTTGAAGCTTTTGACTACGACCCTCCAAGTAAACACTTCTAACGATTATGATCTACCGCAACGTGTAATATCAACGGCTGTTACACCCATAGATGATAAGGCAACGACGTTGGAGATTCCTTGGACATTGGAGAGTCCCACTTCAAAGTTTTACTTATTCATGCATTATGCAGAGCTTAAAGCTTTACAAGCCAACGAAACGAGGGAATTCAGTGTGACGATGAATGGAAACGTTACACTTGAATCTTATAGTCCTAAGTTTTTAAGAATGCAAACTGTTTTCAGTAAAGCACCAAAGCAATGCGATGGAGGGAAATGCTTGTTGCAGCTAGTGAAAACGTCAAAGTCAACTCTGCCTCCTCTTATTAACGCTAATGAGGTTTTCACTGTGATTGATTTCTCACAATTTGAAACAAATGGAGATGAAGGTATGTTGGTTTTTTATATGCTTACAAATTGCTTATGCTAATGTGTTGTATATTGATATTTGATACCATCAAACTTACTAGTGATTGCTATCAAGAATATTCAATCTACTTATGGATTGAGTAGAATCAACTGGCAAGGAGATCCATGTGTCCCCAAAAAGTTATTGTGGGATGGTTTAAACTGCAACAACTCAAATATTTCTATGCCACCGATGATCACTTCCTTGTAAGAGGACATGTTTTTAGTTAACATTTTTCTTATTCTTGACGTTGCACACTTTTAACGTTCATGAATCTTTCATCACTAGAAACTTGTCTTCAAGTGGATTGACTGGGATCATCACGCTGACCATTCAGGATCTAACCCATCTCCAAGAGTTGTAAGTATCTCCAACCGTTGTAATTCTAAGATGAATAATTTGATCTCTAAGAATTTTATAAACGTTCTTATATTTTTCTTTGTGGAAAAAGAATACTAAATGAATCATTTTATCTCAAATTCTAGGGACTTGTCAAATAACAACTTGATCGGAGGTGTGCCTGAATTTCTAGCTGATATGAAATCGCTTTTGGTCATGTAAGTTTCTCAATCATGAGGGTAGTTTCTCTTAGCCCTCTACAAAAAAAGCATCCTCATATTTGATATCTATCTATCTTAACAGAAACTTAAGTGGGAATAATCTTAGTGGCTTAGTTCCTCAAAAGCTTTTAGAGAAGAAGATGTTAAAAATGAAGTAAGATTTTTTTCATCTTATATTTTAATATTTAAAATGTTTTCTTTATTAATTACATTTTCACTGAACAACATTTGGAATGCAAAGCATTGAAGGCAATCCAAAGCTTCATTGCCCGGTGGGCTCATGCGTAAGCAAAGCTAAAGAGGGTGGACAACAGAAAAAGAGCATTGTAATCCCAATTGTTGCATCAATTGCGTCTGTGATTGCCGTCATAGTTGCATTAATTATATTTTTTGCTATTCGAAAGAATAATCCATCAAATGAGGAAGGTACATTCATGATACATTCAAGAAAAACATTACAACATGCATACACATTAAGCTTACGTAGTCTTATTAATCAGGTTTTTTTCCCTTAATATTTTAGAGCCATCGTCGTGTATGCTACCCTCTGATGATAGATCATCTAAACCAAGAATAGTTACAAAGAATAAAAAATTTACGTATTCAGAGGTCATAACGATGACAAACAATTTCCAAAGAATCCTTGGGAAAGGAGGATTTGGAATTGTATATTATGGTTCGGTGAATGGTACCGAACAGGTTGCTGTTAAAATGCTCACCCATTCATCTGCTCTAGGATACAAACAGTTTAAAGCTGAGGTACATTCATGATTCTTTTTTTCTTTTCTTTTTCTGTTTTTCATATATCTTGATTCAACTATCATGTTCAAGTTAAATTTTGTTTTTTTCAATGATGATTTGGTGTGTCATGTGGTTGTTAGGTGGAACTTCTTCTTAGAGTACATCACAAGAACTTGGTCGGTCTTGTTGGATATTGTGAAGAAGGAGATAAATTGGCTCTCATCTACGAATACATGGCTAATGGAGACTTAGATGAGCATATGTCAGGTAAACATAATAGTAGTTTGCTACTACTAGAAGACAAGACAATTTTTCCATCAAATAGACAACGTTTTGAATATAATCTATTTCAATATGACATAGGAAAACGTGGTGGTTCTACACTGGATTGGGGAACTAGGCTAAAAATATCTGTCGAGTCTGCACAAGGTTCGTCTTTAGTTCTCAACTCCCCATCATTTTTCTCTTCTTTACTCTGAATGATTAAAAACTTTGGGAAAAAATGATTTTTTATTTTTCTTTCATAGGATTGGAGTACTTGCATAACGGATGCAAACCCCTAATGGTTCATAGAGATGTCAAAACCACAAATATATTATTGAATGAACACTTTGAAACCAAAATTGCTGATTTTGGTCTCTCAAGATCATTTCCGGTAGAAGGGGAAACTCATGTATCAACAGTTGTTGCTGGAACTATTGGATACCTCAATCCTGAGTAAGTATTTCTGCTTAAACATGCATGGAAGTTTTTTTCTTTTTTTTCTAAACTGATTGAGTAACACTCTTAAACTCTATGATGTAGATATTACCGAACAAATTGGTTGACAGAGAAGAGTGATGTGTATAGTTTTGGAGTTGTATTACTGGCGATCATTACAAACCAACCCGTGATTGACCAAAATCGTGTAAAGCGACACGTGGGAGAGTGGGTGGGGGTAATGCTTACCAAAGGAGACATCAAAAGCATTATAGATCCAAATCTCCGTGGAGATTATGACTCTGGTTCTGCATGGAAAGTTGTTGAACTAGCAATGTCCTGTTTAAATCCTTCTTCGGTGACAAGACCGACAATGTCTCAAGTTGTTTTCGAACTGAAAGAGTGTTTGGTGTCTGAAAACTTGAGGGGAGGAGAGAGCCAGGAAATGCATTCGCAAAGTTCTAGAGAAGTGAGCATGACCTTTGGAACTGAAGTGAACCCTACACCTCGGTAGAGAGGTCACATACTCACATCAAGAATTTAATTTCTCCGTGTGGATCTTACTTTACCCATTTTTCTTTGGCACTATCGCAATTTACCAATTTTTTTTTGGCACTATCGTAAATTACCCTCTTTTATTACTTAAGAGTTTGATTATGGGTTTACTATGACGAGAAAATTTTATTGGAACACTCATGGTTTAAGATAGTTTCGTTCGATGAAATTTGTTTAAGAGCTAAACAAGTCAACTATGAATGAAGAGATGGAGTTGACTTAACTTAATGGCTTCAACAAAACATACTATTTTTTTTTTCTTTTATTCATCTTAACTTAATGGCTTCAACAAAACATACTAATTTTAACCAAATAAGTTTTTCTAAGTTTAAAACGAAAAAAACAAAAACAGTTTAATCGGAGTTTTTGTTTTACAACATGGATGCACGTCTCAGAAACAATCATTGACATTTCGTCAGATACTAAAAAAACTAATTTATAGCGCTTCAGTATTATAACTTCGCCTTATCCTTACATGTTTTTTAAATCTTTATAACACAGTTGAAAATTACAAGGGTCAACAACTGACGAAGAGATGGAGTTAAACTATGTTCTTTTCTTTTTTCTTTTGATTTTTTTCCCCCGAGGAAAATTCCCAAAAGAACCCCAAACCTTGTACACCTGAAGAGAAACCCTAAATCTATAAAAAAAAAAAATGCAGAAAATAATTTTTTTTGGAACGACGTCGTTAAGTGCAGTTAATATATACTACAATTACAAACATTATGTATCTTCCTCAGTCAAGATTAGGTTCTCCTTGTCATCATCTCCACGCTTGATACGAAATTATCTCAGATCAATCTACCTGTAATCATCCCGATTTTTCCCAAAATGTAAAAACCCTAATTTTGTGGGCTGAGGGAGCAATTCGAATCTGGAGGCAAAAGAGCTTATAAATGACATTTGAAAGTTTGGAGCTATCACTTTGAAATCTAAGTTTTTAGGTATGCTTCTGGTCAATACAATATACAAATACTCAATAAAACCTTATCCTTTATACATGTATCGGTTTATTTCTTTCTATTTTTTTTTTTATAAATAAATGTCGATGTAGCAAAAATCTATCAACTTTCCAGGTTCCCAAAACATTATTTTTATTATTTTATTTCTGGCAGTTGACAATTTGAGGGTAACAGATTTCTTTAATGTCTACTTGATCAGCTGACACAGGTTGTTATTTCAGGAACTTGGCAAGATGTTAATATTCAACTCCTCAAAGCATTGGAGAAAATGGGAAGGTATCTTCATGGAGTTTTGTGTGCGTTTGTTTTCACATTTGCTCTTTTACATAATGTTCAAGCGCAGGATGAAAAAGGTATGATATTTGATCAAAAAAGTATTATATTTTCAAACTCTCCAATCGATTATATGAATTCTTGAGTAAGACTACTTTTTTCTCCTCTGTTCTTGTTAGGATTCATCACTTTGGATTGTGGTCTGTTACCTGATGGCTCTCCGTATGTCGATTCATCTACCGGATTAACATTCACCTCCGATGCTAGTTTTGTCGAGAGTGGAAAGAACGGTCGAGTCGATAAAGATTCTGTGAGAATTGTTGAAAAGGCGCTTGTAACGCTGAGATACTTTCCGGATGGAGAACGGAATTGTTATAACTTGAAGGTCACGCAAGGAACAAATTACCTGATTAGGGCTTTCTTCCTTTATGGAAATTACGACGGTTTTAATACTAACCCAAACTTTGATCTGTTTCTTGGCCCTAATAAGTGGACAACGGTAGATTTGGATGCTACCGCAGGTGTTAAGTACGAGGAGATTATCCACATGTCTAGGTTAAGCTCATTGCAGATCTGTCTTGTTAAGACGGGAACAACTACGCCGATGATATCAACCTTGGAGCTACGACCACTGAGAAGTGATATTTACATAAGTAGCACTGGGAGCTCCTTGAAGTTATTATCCAGAAGTTATGCTAACAGTTCAAGCCGCATTTTACGGTAAGGAAACTTTGATTTGTGACAAGGAATCTTGGTACATTTTTTTTTAAAGGCCATTGCCACTAGCTAGATAGAGATGTCATAGAACAAGAAAAAAAAAGAGGATGAAGAAGAATTGAAATATTGATTCTTTCTTTGATACTTACATTAGTGCCACTCTTGGTTTTGTTTATCCCTAACATTATAAGATTTTGGCAGGTACCCTGATGATGTCTATGACCGTTGGTGGCTCCCGTTGGTAGATACGAAGTGGAATGTAGTAACTACAACTCTTAGTGTAAACACCTCTAATGGTTATGATCCACCGCAAGGTGCAATGACATCGGCTGCAACCTATGTAAATGATAATGGAAGATTGGATATTCCTTGGAGCTTAGAGGATTCTACAGCACGGTTTCACATTTACCTTCACTTTGCAGAGATTCAAACTTTGTTAGCCAATGAGACAAGAGAGTTTAATGTTTTGCTGAATGGAAAAGTTTTTAATGGACCTTATAGTCCTAAAAAGTTAAAAATTGACACTATGATCACCAAGCCTGAATCTACATTGAGATGCGAAAGAGGGATTTGCCTTTTGCAGCTGGTGAAAACAACAAAATCAACTCTTCCTCCTCTCATCAATGCTATGGAAACTTTTACTGTTGTTGAGTTTCCTCAATCAGAAACAAACCAAGATGAAGGTGCGTAACTTGACATTTTTTCTTTGATACATATGAATTGGAGTTTTGCATGTGCTAATTATTGATATCATGAACGCCCGCAGTGATTGCTATCAAGAAGATCCAAAGTGCTTATGGATTGAGTAGAATTAGTTGGCAAGGAGATCCATGTGTCCCCAAGAAGTTCTTGTGGGCTGGTCTAAACTGTAACAACACTGATAGTTCCACTCCACCAACAATCACTTCCTTGTAAGATCTTCCAGTCATTAACTGTATCATGGTTAAGTCATTTCCCTATTCTAAATACAATGTTACATTTGAAACATATTCAACATATTCATGACTTTATCACTAGAAACTTGTCTTCAAGTGGATTGACTGATATCATCATGCCTGCCATTCTTCATCTAACCAATCTACAAGAACTGTAAGTATCATACATACTTTAATAAAACCAGACCTTTTCTTTTCGGTCGTTTGTGATGGATTTTTATGTTCTTAATCAAATGCTAGGGACTTGTCCAATAATAACTTGACCGGTGCTGTGCCTGGGTTTCTAGCTGATATGAAATCGCTCTTGGTCATGTAAGTTCTTTGTAAAATGTGTGAAGAATATTTTCATTAGCACTCTCCGAAATTCCCTAATTGTGTTATATATATGATTTTTTCTACCTTAACAGAAACTTGAGTGGAAACAATCTTAGTGGCCAACTTCCTCAAAAGCTTCTAGAAAAGAAAGGATTGAAGCTGAAGTAAGACTTTTTCATATAATCTCCAGATATGTTGATTACCATTTACTATAACTAATCTCCTCCATATATATATTGAAATAGCATTTGTAATACTAATCCACAGTACTGAAGGCAACCCTAAGCTTCTTTGCACAGAAGGGTCGTGTGAAAATAAATCTAGAGAAAGTGGACATCCCAAAAAGAGTATAGTTGTACCAGTTGTTGCATCAGTTGCTTCACTGTTTGTTGTTGCAACTGCATTGGTTCTGTTTTTTGTTCTCAAGAGGAAAAAATCATCAAAGACTAAAGGTATTAAAAAAAAATCATTAGTTATCATGTATACTGTATTACTACAAAATAATACTGATATTTTGTGTATCAGAAAGTGGTAGAACACCAAGATCATCCGAGCCACCAATCATAACGAAAAAGAAAAAGTTTACTTACGAAGAGGTTACTGAAATGACAAATAACTTTGAAAGGATTCTTGGGAAAGGAGGTTTCGGTATGGTTTATCATGGATATGTCAATGGTAAAGAACCAGTTGCTGTTAAGGTTGTCTCTCAAGCTTCAAATCATGGACACAAACAGTTCAAGGCAGAGGTTAAAAAATAAAATTTTCAATTATGCAACCTAGCTAGGGTCTTTTACCACTTTTTGTTGCATATGAACCATGTACTTTTATTAATTGTTTTTGTGTGCCTTTTTTTTTTTTAGGTTGATCTTCTTCTCAGAGTACATCACAAGAATTTGGTAAGCCTAGTTGGATATTGTGAAAAAGGGAATGACTTGGCTCTCGTCTACGAATACATGGCCAATGGAGATTTGAAAGAGATTTTGTCAGGTAAACAGAATATGAAGACCATATCTTAATCACTTATCGAACTTAAGCTAACTTAAAACACACAGGGAAGCACGACTCTTCTGTTTTAACATGGCAAACTAGACTAAAAATAGCAGTCGAGGCCGCACAAGGTTAGTGAAGCTTAATGATAATGAACCCTCTCATTTCTTCTCTCAAGAACTTAAGTTTTATTTTTATGTGATTAAACTTCGATAAAGTGAAATATATATGTTACACTAGGATTGGAGTATTTGCATAAAGGATGCAGACCACCAATAGTGCACAGAGATGTAAAAACAGCAAATATATTGTTGAACGAACACTTCCAAGCCAAACTTGCGGATTTCGGGCTCTCGAGATCTTTCTCAAACGAAGGAGAAAGTCATGTCTCCACAGTTGTTGCGGGAACTCTTGGTTACCTTGATCCAGAGTACTTAAACTTTCTGTTTTTCAATCATCTTCTCTTACTTCAAATCATTAACATTTCTGACAATATTTTGTTTCACGTAATGTCTTGCAGCTATTACAATACAAACTGGTTGACAGAAAAGAGTGATGTGTATAGTTTTGGGGTCGTTTTATTGGAGATCATAACAAATCTGCCGGTGATTGACCAGAGTCGTGAAACACCATACATAGCAGAATGGGTGGGATTAATGGTTACCAAAGGAGACATTAGAAACATCACAGATCCAAGTCTTAATGGTGATTACCACTCTGATTCTGTTTGGAGATTTGTTGAGCTAGCAATGACTTGTGTCAATGCTTCTTCAGCGAGTAGACCAACCATGTCTCAAGTTGTTGTTGAGCTAATACAGTGTTTAACATTTGAGAACTCGAGAGGAGGAACGAGTCGTGACTTGGACTCCAAAAGTTCCCGACAAGTGTCCATGACCTTTGGTACTGACGTGAACCCCACGGCTCGCTGAGCTACTTGAAAGAACGAATCTTCCGCTGCATCTTCGTTGTGTATTTCAAATAATCAAGAAACGTTTGTCTGAAGTGAACACTTTTATTGTTTAACTGGAAAAAAGTTGATAGATCATTTAGTGAATTGCTTCAAATGATATGAAAGTTGAATATAGAAATTATTTAATTAGGTTGTGTTTGCTTGTCTCTGAAGCTACCTTGATTTTTTCCTAAAAGAATGAGTGCTAACGAAGTTTGATGAATAAAAACGGTGGTGAAAAAGCTTTGAGGAAATCTGAATCACGTTCGGGAAAACTAAGGAACAGAGAGTGAAACAGAGACTCGCACATGCTCTGTTTAAGTACACAAGCAGATCTTGAGACAAAGAAAATGTATTTTTTACACAAGCAGGAGAAGAATGTGAAGATTCAGATTTCAGAGTATGATATATTTGATTTCATCTAGCTCCTGGATTAAGCTCTGTTGTGAAGTTCATGGACATCTCCACCGAAGAATCGTTAGTAGAATCAGTCATACGACTTCCCATGTTTCTTGCCATCTCCATGTTCAGACATTCTTTAAGATCCACAACGACTTGCGTCATCGTCGGTCTCCTTGAAGAAGACGGATTCAAGCAAGTCATGGCTGTCTCAACAATTTTCCACACCGTGTTAGGATCAAAGTCTCCTTGAAGCTTAGGATCCACAATGCTGTTAATATCTCCTCTTGATAGCATCAAACCAACCCATTCACCTATATGTGGTCTTTCCCTTTTCTGGTCTATCACTGCTCGGTTCGTTACTAGCTCAAGTAGAACAACACCGAAGCTGAACACATCGCTTTTCTCGGTCAACCAATTACTTCTGTAGTACCTGAGAAAGAAAAGCCAAAACGTTTAAAGAAATAACTTCAGAAACGTTGTAGAGACTATAGAGAGTAGTGTGATTGAGATTTACTCAGGGTCTAGGTATCCGGGAGTTCCTGCGACTACGGTTGAGACATGAGTCTCGGTTCCAAGTGGAAAAGACCGCGAAAGCCCAAAATCCGCAAGCTTAGCTTGGAATTTCTCGTTTAACAAGATGTTTGTTGTCTTGATGTCTCGGTGTACTATCTGCGGTTTGCATCCATTGTGCAAATATTCCAGTCCTTGTGCTGATTCCGCTGCGATGCGAAGTCTTCCTTCCCACGTTAGTATCGATGGTCCACGCTTCCCTGAACGCATGTTAGAATCTTGAACATGTTTCTAAGTTTTCAAGAACATTTTGTGTAAAAACCAGACCTTGTAAGTGCTCTTTCAAGTCTCCATTCGCCATGAACTCATAAATTAGACACAATTTATCGCCTTCTTCGCAATAACCAACAAGACATGTGAGATCTTTGTGATGAACTCTAAGAAGCAACTCAACCTAACAAGTAAACAAAACACAATCAAGAACACCATTTTTCTTACGTAGTTAGAGAAACATATGGTTCACTATGTTATTATTATTACCTCGGCTTTAAACTGTTTGTAACCAAGTGCAGTAGCCTCAGTGAGCAGCTTAACAGCGACTGGTTCGTTATTCAATACGCCGTAATAAACCACACCAAAACCTCCCCTACCAAGAACCCTCTCAAAGTTGTTTGTCATCTTCACCACATCGATGTAAGTCAATTTCCTGTTCTTTGCTATCACGGGAGACTCATAACCGTGGTGAGACCTTGAACGTAACGGTGTTGTACCGGTACCTGAATTTGGATTTAAACCAAGCTTGGTTCTCTTCTTCTTCCTCTTGAGGATAAGGAACGTGACGATTCCGGCTGCAATGAGGAAGACTGAAACAAGTGATGCTGCAACAGGTGCAATAACTGTGTTTTTCTTCTTCTTCTTCGTGGTGGTGCATGAAACTGAAGAACAAAGCCCGGTATTTCCTTCGATACTAGAGTTTTATATAAGATTATTGAAAGACAGATTTGATTAGAAAAGTCTTCAGGAATTAATTGTTTGTTTTTTTCTCTCGTACGCATGGATTTATTACCTTAATGAAATCGATCCTCTTCGTGCTTTATCAAGGAGAGTTTGAGGGATTGAACCGTTTAGCTCATTGCCTGAGAGATTTCTGCGTAAAACAGAGGTTACAATATATTAGGTTTCTATGGTGTTCACTGAGTAAGATTTGAGCCATTTATGCTTGAACTTACATGGTTTTTAGGGTTTCCATGTTTGCTAGAAACTCCGGAACCGAACCAGTTAAAGAATTGTTAGACAAGTCACTGCAAGAAAATCAAACCAAACAAAGAAAACAAGACTTTAAATCACAACTTGGCCACAGTTTGTAAGAGACTTGACAAATTCTCTACTTACAGAACTTCTAAATTGGTAAGGTCTGATATAAATTCCAATATTTCTCCGGTCAAGTCACTTGCAGACAAGTTCCTGTTTTCAGAGATCAAAGATTTGTTTAAGCCTTTTGGTATAAGACAATTCAAACTCTGTTCTAATAACAGAACAATCTCTAATACTTACAAAGAAATGATTTTTGGTTGATCATTGTCAACGTAACTGCAACCAACACCAGACCAACTATAAGTCTGTGGTACGCAAGGATCTCCTTCCCAATCAATCTTGTTCACTTCGTAACCCGACTTGATGTTCATCATTGCATCAACTGATAAAAAATGCAAATGTTTAGTTCTTGATCAACAACAAATCAAAAAAGTAGTTAGTTAGTTAGTTAGTTAGTAACCAACCTTCTTTTCTATCGGTTTCTTTCTCCGGCAACAAGTTAACCTGATAAACCTCCATGGCATTAAGGAGAGGAGGCAACGTCGAATTTCCTGTTCTTTGAAGCGAAAACGTGTACTGTCCATTTGCATCAGCAACAACTTCGGTAGGTGTAAATACGGAAGAAGTGGTGAAGTTAAGCGGTCTAAAGGGTCCGTATATATGCTTGTCATTGTACATGATATTGAACTCTCTTGTTTCGTTGGAACTGAGCTCTTGAATCTCTGCAAAATGCATGAAAACATAGAACCGCGCAGTGCGGTCCACCCCGACTAGCGAAATGTTCATAGGTTCGTCAGGGTTTGTTGGAACGGAAGCTGTGACCATAGCGATCTCTGGTGGTTGGTAGTCATTGTTGACATTCACTGTCTGGTTGGTACTAATCTGTGACCAGTTTCCAAAGTTAAAAGGTGTCCAGACACGATCAAACACATCGATTCCGTACCTAAAACGAAGAAAAACAGATCATGTTTAGAAACTTTTTAAGACTAAATTTTCATTTCTTTTTCTGATATGAGATATTCATATTTAAAAACCTGAAGCCTCCGTTAAGAGTTGAGCCAACGTCTGCTCTGATGAAGAGCTGGAGTGACCCTTGTTGAGTTAAGTAAGTTGTGTTCTTGAGCTTACGAAGCTCTAAAGCGGAGATAAAAGGCGTTGAGTCTCCTGTTTTGACCAGACAGATTTGTAAACGATCAGTTTTCAAGATATGAATAATCTCATTGACTGATGCTTGGGTCTCGTTTGTGGTTGAAACATTAGTCCATAGGTTAGGCCCGAGGTGGAGCTCGAATTCGGTGGTGGGATTATCATCATAACCTCCGTGTAAGAAGCTTGCTCTGATTAGATATTCATCACCTATGGTTAGGTTTAGGGTGTAGCAGCTTCTTGTTCCTTGCGGAAAACTCCGTAGGTTCCTTGTGGAAAAAGGTAAAGCATTTGGTAAAGAAATAGCGTGAGGTTAAAGCTAACGTTCATTGATCATGAAAATGTTGTCTATACCAGGCTTGTTGCTGGAACTGGGTCCGGTATTGTTGTTTGATGCTTCTACCAACACCGGTATTGATGAAATTTGCATCAGAGATGTAAGTAAGGTTTGTTGTCTTCTCACGAAAAGTATCTCCTCTTGGCGAACCGCAATCCAAACTGATGAATCCTGAGGAAAATAGAGAAGAATAACAGTTTGAGAACCAAACCGGTTTTGATGAAGATACTAACGTTAGTTCTTTTACCTGACTGATCTTGAGCAAGACTGAGAAATAAAGCTGAAAAAACTTGCAGAAGAACTAAGAGGAGACAAGCAGAAAACGCCATTAACATTCGGTCACGTAAGAATTTTCTGTTCGTTTGTTTTGCAGATTAGAAAATGAGGAATTAAGTGAACATATATGTGGTTTGATTAAAAAAATGAAAGTGGTAATTGTTTTTCTTTTGTTTTTGGTGTGAACCGCGTACGTAGTAGTGGACCTACAGGTTACATTATTATTGAGAGTTCAAAGTCAACCTTTTGGTAGAAGTGACCAATTGTGATTTTCTTACGTTAATCTGCGTTGACGTATTAAAAGTCCATATGATGAAAAATTCACCATCATCTTCGATTTATAAAGCCTTTCGACTATTTTTTTTAAAGTCATTACTGTTTGCCATTATGCTGCACAGCTTGCACTTCATCTTCCTTGGTAAAACTTGAGGATAAACAAAACAGTCGTCCTTCCTTTTTTTAACCAAATAATTTTCGTAACGTTTGAAATTAGATTTGATTTAATAAAAATTTACTATCATCTCATTTGGATATTTTTTTCTAATTCTTTCTGAACACTTAAATTAAAAAGTACATGTCGGACAAAAAAAGGTAAACTTTGAGATTATGAGAAGTCAGAAAGAGATTGATTGGTGATGAGCTAATACATGCACTAATAAAACTGAAGATGGAGAGACGACCACGACTTCAAAGAAAACAAAAAATGAAGAAAAAAGGGAATCGAACGAAAGATCAAGCTAGTGGGCTAAATATATATTTGGACATGATCGGCGGTTGGCGGATGTCGATATCGCAAGAGATTAGGAAAAGAAAACGAGTGCACATGGCCATGACGGCATGCATGGCCTAGCCTTATTAAGGTTTGACCGTTGACTATTTAATTTTCCTCTTATATCTCCTTTTCCGGGAAATATAATGGTTAATGAACATAATACGTCGTATATCTAGAATCTAGATTAACATGATACAAAAAGATAATGTATAATATGATAATGAATTTTACACAACCAAAAATATGATACATTATTAAACTTACTAGATATCTTAACTTTTCTTTTAAACAAAGATATCTTAATCTTGTAACCATGTTTTAAACTATGTATTAACCATCTGAAATGTATTGATGTGCACTATTTATTCATATATCTCGTTGAATTAATTGTTAATCGTTATTGTTTAATTAGGTTGTAAATGTACGAAAGCCAACTTCGATTTAAGCATAAATGTAAATGATACTCCAACGTTATGTCTTCACTTTTGTTTTACATGTTCATATATTTATCACTTTCTCAAACTCAATGTCTCATAACAAAACCAAAACCCAATTTCAAAATTTAACCAAAAGCAGATGCTGTTGTGCAGAGAAATGGCCAAACCTAAGTGGCCAATTCGTCATCAGCAATCCCAAGTGTCCAAACAAAACCCTCAACGTTTTCGACCATGATCATGATCCTTGTAGCGATAGCTGGATTGTTGTGGCAGGAATGGCAATCAAGTTGATACAGGAGTCAGAAATTTAAGATTCAATGCTAATATGACCATTGCATTCATTGATAAAACTAATAAAAACCAATACACAAGAATTCAGTGTGGTTTACGATATGGGCCCGGGCCTGCAAAGAAGTATGCTTTTGATTATCTTATGGCGTGAGTTTATATAGCTAAAGTATTTTCATGTAATTTGCTTCAAACATCTTTTAGTACATCTTTCCCATTTTTCTTTGTAGACTAGTGAGTGTTTATATTTTCCTAGACGAATTGATGATATTTGCTATAAGATAAGAGTTATGCCGAATTGAAAATTTATAAGAGAAATAGTAATGACATTAAAGCTTTAACACCTTCAAGTTTCCGACACCGTCCGATGATGAAATCATGGTTTCACCAGCGATTTCGACCGAGTGTCAATGTCAAGCATCCGATTTACGCACCATTACGAAGGGTTTCGTTCAATCAAATCATGGTGAGATCCTGAGAAATACTGTACTCAATTATCTTGTAATGTTACAAAAATCATGATTTTAATTGTGGTCAAAGTTCAAACTCAAACCCAAGATATAAGAAAGTCTCTGGTCTTTGTCTCCTTCACCGTTGACCTGTTCATTACCATAGATACAAGTTGTCAAAAAAAAGAAAAAAAACAAGTTGGCTTTTGTTGATTAGTGTCTACTAGTTGTTTCAGATAATGATTTTATACGTAGTGACTTGTGAGCACAACAAAATGATATCCACCATAGAAGTTGACATTGTTTTAGAAGAAGTTGACTTACACAAATCAAAACAAAAACTCTTATGCTTCTTCTTCTTTTTCCTCTTAGTGTTTCTCAGAAATGGATAAACAGAGACGATGACTGTTTAAAGAACAAAGATGATGGAATCGAAGGCGCTCACGTTCCTTTGCTGTGTTATTCTCATCAATCTTGCCAATTCCCAAGATCAATCAGGTTTGAAAATCTTTTAGTCAAACAAAAAGATCATGCTCTGTTTTGATTCTGTTTCCCCTTAGAAAGTTAGTTAAAAAAAAACTGTTTTTTACAAAAACAGGATTCATTAGCATAGATTGCGGATTACAACCGGAGAATCTAAGCTACACGGATACATCAACCGGAATAAAATATGTTTCGGACTCGAGTTTTACGGATACAGGAACAAGCAATCTCGTGTCGCCTGAGAACAGAGCAAACGTAAAACAGAGCATGTGGTCTTTTAGAAGTTTTCCAGAAGGAATCAGAAACTGCTACACGATTCCTGTCAACAACAGCAACAAGTATCTGATCCGAGCAGCATTCATGTACGGAAACTACGATTCGAGAGACGAGATCCCCGAATTCGATCTTCATTTGGGTCCAAACAAATGGGACACTGTTAAATTCGAGTCTCCTCTGCAAACAGAGTCCAAGGAGATCATATACTCTGTTTCAACAGACACGTTACAAGTTTGTTTGGTGAATACAGGGAACGGTACGCCGTTTATCTCGGTGCTGGAGCTTAGAATGTTGCCGAACTCGTCTTACGTAGCTCAATCTGAATCGCTTCAGCTCTTTCAACGGTTGGATTTCGGATCGTCGTTGATGAATCAAACGGTTAGGTTTCCGGATGATGTTTTTGACCGGATATGGTCTCCTTCAACGCCAAAAGGTTCAAAGGGTGTAAGTGATCCGTCGACTTCTCTGCCACGCAACAGTAGTGGTAGCTTCCGTCTTCCGCAAGTTATCATGAGAACTGCGGTTATACCCGAAACCCTAGGTGGGTCTTTGGATTTTGGGTGGACTGCTGATGATCCTTCTCTTGAGTTTTACTTTTACATGTACTTCACGGAGATTCAAGAACCGGATTCGAACTCTCAAGAACGGAGAGAGTTCGTCATTTCGCTCAACGGGGAGACGTTTTCGGAGCCGCTTAGTCTTGATTACTCCAAGACCTTGGTTCTGTTCGTTTCAAAGCCTTTGAGAGAAGAGAGCTTCCAGTTTTCTCTTCGTCAGACTCGGAGCTCGACTCTTCCTCCTCTCATCAACGCTATGGAGACTTACTTTGGAAACAAACTTCCTCAGTCTTCAACTGATCAAAACGACCGTAAGCTCTTTCTCTGTTCTTTTCCTCTGCTTTACATTTTCACATTCTTGTTTTATCTCACTCTGTTTTCCTCTAGTTTCCGCTATGAGGAATATTAAGTCTGCATATAAAGTCAAGAGAAACTGGCAAGGAGATGTTTGTGTGCCTCAGGCTTACACATGGGAAGGTGTGAATTGTAGCTCCAGTGGCACAAGCATGCCTAGAGTTATATTTTTGTAAGTGTTCTTATATATATAAAAATAAATAAATTCCCTTTCTCTCAAATCTTGAGTGGGTCTCAGGCTCTCAGTGTCACTGTTCTATGTAACAGAAACTTATCATCCTCCGGATTGACAGGAGATATAGCGTTTGACATATCGCTTCTTTCACAGTTACAAATCCTGTAAGTTTTTGTTCACCTTGTTGGTAATAATAACTGTATGTAAATAGTTGAAAGTTGCTAACTTTTTATGTAACTTTCAGGGACTTGTCAGACAACAATTTGACCGGACCAGTACCGGCTTTCTTAGCTCAGCTTCAGTTCCTGAGAGTCCTGTGTGTATTTTTCTCAAACCACAACTAACAGTAACAAGAACTCATAGCTTTGTAAATGACTTTTGATATAATGTGGATATTGCAGGAATTTGGCAAACAACCAGCTTAGTGGTCCTATACCTTCTACTCTCATGGAGAAAACACAGAACGGCATGTCCTTCAGGTACTCAAAAACACTTCTCTTCTTCATTCGTTGCACGTTTTATAATCCATTTTTATGTGTATGTGCATGCAGTATCAAAGGGAATCCAAGTGTTTGTACTGAAACTGCTTGTAGAGAGGTCACAGGAAACAAATCCAAGAAGAACAAACTTCCAGGCTTTGTTATTCCTTTGGTTGCATCACTTGCAGGGCTGTTTCTCATTGCTACTATATTCATACTCTTTATCCTCATTAGAAAGAAGAAACAAGGTAGAATGATTCACAGGATGGTTACATCTACGAGTAATGGACCGTCGTCGTTACAGAGGAGAGACACCGGTTCAATGCGTCCATTGCAAAGAAGAGAAACCGGTTTTTCGACACGTCCGTCTTTACAGAGAATAGAGAGCGGAATGACTGACTACGAAGGGAATGAAATAGCAAACGATGCGTTTGATTTGGAACCGACGAACAGGAAGTTTACATACGCAGAGATTGTGAACATCACAAATGGTTTCGAGAGAGATCAAGGGAAGGTGGGATTTGGAAGAAACTACCTCGGAAAGTTAGATGGTAAAGAAGTAACTGTCAAGCTTGTTTCTTCCTTGTCTTCTCAAGGCTACAAACAACTCAGAGCAGAGGTATATTACATATGCTCCGTCTTTGATGATTAATGAAACAAAGACTTTGAAGATTCTTATGTGAAGAACGTTCTAATTGTAGGTCAAACACCTTTTCAGAATACATCATAAAAACCTTATAACCATGCTTGGTTACTGCAACGAAGGCGATAAACTCGCGGTTATCTACGAGTACATGGCTAACGGAAACTTGAAACAACATATCTCAGAGAACAGTTCAACTGTTTTCAGCTGGGAAGATAGACTTGGAATCGCAGTCGATGTTGCACAAGGTAATAAAGAAACATTTCATAGAATTTCCTCTGTTTTGGAGCTCTGTTTCTAATAACAGATTCGGTTACCGCGACTGAACCTCCTCTGTTTTTGTATAGGACTTGAGTATTTGCATACTGGCTGCACGCCACCGATCATCCACAGAAACGTCAAGTGTACAAATGTGTTCTTGGATGGGAGTTTCAATGCGAAGTTAGGCGGTTTTGGTCTTTCGAGAGCGTTTGATGCAGCAGAAGGAAGTCATTTGAATACAGCCATCGCCGGGACGCCTGGATATGTTGATCCCGAGTAAGCTCAAAGATTGAATCTTTGACAAGTTCGGAAGACTTCTGCTTCCTTTTTCTTGGTTTTTGGAAGTTAAAGATATTATCTTTTCATTGCAGGTATTACACATCAAACAATCTAACAGAGAAGAGCGATGTGTACAGTTTTGGTGTTGTTCTGTTAGAGATCGTTACTGCGAAACCTGCCATCATAAAGAGTGAGGAAAGGATGCATATAAGCCAATGGGTTGAGTCTTTGCTCTCTAGAGAGAACATCGTGGAGATTCTTGACCCGAGCCTTTGTGGAGACTATGATCCAAACTCTGCGTTTAAGACCGTGGAGATAGCCGTGGCTTGTGTTTGTCGAAACTCTGGCGAGAGACCTGGGATGAGTCAAGTGGTGACGGCTCTTAAGGAGAGTTTGGCTGTAGAAATTGAGAGGAAAAAGGATTTGCCGGTTTTATCAACAGATTCAGTTGAAGATCTTGCACTTGGCTTTGGTTCCAATCCACCTCCTCGTTTGAGATGATTCTTTTTATTGGCTTGGTGTTGTAATGTTTGATCTGTGAAGAAGAAAAAGGTTGTTATGTATGTTTGGTTTTTGTTGTGAGTTGAAATAACAAACAAAAAATCGTTGTTCATAAGTGGATGCCTTTAGTATCAATGAGCGATTTAAGCTTGGGGGACACTTTTCAAGCGACATTACTTGTGACCTAAGGATCTTCCAGTGTCGTCTCCTCCTCTTTTTCTCTTCACATAGGCTTAGTGACATCTCTTGTTTCATCAAATCAGTGTTGGTCATTAAAAATGTCTTTAAAATCAGACATAGAACCAAAACTACTAAATGGCAAGTGCTCTCTCTGTCCCTATATAGCCAACTCATCTAAATACACCAAATTGATAAAACCAAACACAAGTCATCGCTTCATGCCATAACTTACATTGCCTGGCTTCTGGTTCCTCAAGTTGCAGTCAACTGACTTTGACATCATGTAGATGCAATGCAAATGCCAAAACAACAGGCTTTAGAAGCAACTTCCTCACTCTTCTTGTTAAAAATTTGAAATCCAAGAGACTGAAAGAAACTCAAAATTATCTTTATTCAGTCATCTGTCAAGTCAAAAAATGTTCCTGTAATATCACTGCGGAAGAGGGTATTAACTAATGATCATATTCTAAACCAAATAACTTATCAAAACAAGAACCAAGATGGACAAGTGAAACATCTTGTTAGAGCCCAAGAATCTTGGGTGCCAGTTGCAATAACGGCTCCAATGCGCTAGGAGCAAACTTTCTGGCAAAGAGATAACAAACTTGAGAATGCTGATCATTGTAGAGGCAGGCTTCAGATCCCGGAAGCTTCTTGAGAAAGTCTTCCGTTACATCATCCTTGCCAAAAGTAGCTGGATGAGCACCACCGCGTGACCAATCTTTCCAAGTTAATGTCCGGTTAGCCAGCAAAATCCGGTGTTCCATAGACAGCATTGTAGGGAAGTAATGTTCATCAACATAACATGGTTGTTTACAAAACTCTCTGAACTTGGGGTAGTAAGTTGTGTCTTGCACAATCTCAACAGCGAGTTTCCGGTTAACTTCAAACCACTGAGACCCTTTCCTCCACTGGCTAAGCGAGATCTCAGGCTCCATCCCAGTTCTGTACCTTCCTCTTCCATCAGGCCCTTCCTCATCATAAGCACCCATGAAACTATATCTTGATTCAGAGACATAACCATAGATGAAGCCGAAACCGCGCAGAGGGATGCATGATTCAGACAGCAGAACAAACCACTCATTAGAGATATCTAGCAACGCATTAGCCAGAAGCCTCCTCTCAGCATCTCCCATACTCACCTCTCCCCATTCCACAGCCTATAACCAAGAGAAAAAACTGACATAGTGAGGAACACAAGAAGCAATCACTTACAAAAGTCTTTTGTCTGTAACATCAATGACAAGTACCTGACTTGGGATGTATCTTCCGTAAAACACAGATGACATTGGATAATCCGATTTGTAATCAGGCAATGCATGAACATAGATTGAGTAAATACCCTCGTGTTCTTTAAAGAACATCTCCCAGAGTGGAGCAAATGGTAAAGACCCTTTAGTGAGGAACATGAAGGCCAGTTTAGGAACCCGTTTAAAAGGATATACATTGATCCGTGGCTCCATCGAAGCACGCCAAAGCAGTTCACTGTCATTCATTGTGTGCCAAACATTCAACGGAGGTCTAACAAATCTCTCTAAAGTAACACTCCCATGATCATATATAGAGATCAGAGTTGTTGGAGCCAAATGTTGAATCCTCAGGAACTGGATCATGTGTATACCAGCAACTGAGATCCCAAAAGTCAAAAATAGAAACAATAGCAAAATGTGAAGCGGACGCATCGACAAAAGAGACCTAGATTGGTTTGTGAGTCTAGATGCAGCATTGTCTTTAAAACCTTCCTCCATCTCCATCACCATCACTTTCATCTAAAAAAGCTCCAAACTTTCTTATTATAGCTATCACCAAATGCTTACACAAAGAGAAGAACTTTCGGAAATCGCTGTTACTTCAACAAGAATCCAGATTTTTGTGAGGTTATCAAAACAGTATTTTGGTGACAAAAGGGACAAGATTTGCAGAGGAAACAGAGGTTTACAAAAATGGGTTTTTTATTATCAACCCAGAAAAGAAGATTGAGGATATTGTATAAAGAAGCAAAGATTGGGAAGTAAGAGAGGCAACTTCACAACGTTTTCTTCCTACGGATTTGATTTCTTAAGAGATTGAAACTTGAATGTAGAAACGTACCGGAGGAGGAAGAAGAAGAAGAAGAGCCATAAAAATGAAAAATTGGATCTTTCTCAGTCATACATTGAAGTAAACTCTCGGCATTTGAGAGTCTGATTTTGATTATGGTGTTCATCTAATGAATCCGTTGTGAAGATCTACTTAATACTGTCATCTGATTCGTCATCTTATGGGTTGACTTTCGTAAACCCCTCAACTTTTGCTTCCCAGTCTAATTTCCCCCAAACTTTTAACAGTTTCACAGATTTGATGGCAAAAGTGGAATTATTTGGAAATGAAAGTTTGTTTTGACATTTAGACTTCTAGGCATGGAACAAGAACAATGCCCCAAGCAACTTTTATTCAGTCAAGTCAAAAATATGTGTAACCATTACACAAGCACCTGTAATATCAGTCTAAGTTCAGTTCTGTTCGTGATCCTAAACCCAAGCACTTGTCAAAAACAAAACCAAGATGGACGAGTTCAAGATCCTGTCAGAAACCAAGAACCTTGGGTGCAAGTTGCAATAAGGGCTCCAATGCGCTAGGAGCAAACTTTCTAGCAAATAGATAACAAACTTGAGACCGCTCATCATTGTAGGAGCAGGCTTTAGCTTCCGGAAGATTCTTGAGAAAAGTCTCTGTTATATCAGCCTTGTCAAAAGTAGCTGGATGAGCACCACCGCGTGACCAATCTGTCCACGTCAGTGTCCGGTTAGCCAGCGAAACCCGATGTTTCATAGACAGCATTGTAGGGAAGTAATGTTCATCAACATAACACGGAGGTTTGCAAAACTCTTTGAACTTGGGGTAGTAAGTTGTGTCTTGAACAATCTCAACAGCGAGTTTCCGGTTAACTTCAAACCACTGTGACCCTTTCCTCCACTGGCTAAGCGAGATCTCAGGCTCCATCCCATCTCTGTATCTTCCTCTTCCGTCAGGTCCTTCTTCATCAATAGAACCCATGAAACTATGTCTTGATTCAGAGACATAACCGTAGATGAAGCTGAAACCTCGCAGAGGGATGCATGATTCAGACACCAGAACAAACCATTCGTTAGAGATATCTAGCAAGGCGTTCGAAAGAAGCCTCCTTTCAGCGTCACACATACTCATCTCTCCCCATGCCACAGCCTATAACACAAGAAGCAAAACACTTCAAAAGTTGATCTTGAAAATGTTAGCAAGAACGTTGCAAGTGAAAAGTACCTGACTTGGGACATATCTCTTGTAAAACACAGATGATCTTGAAAAATCAGATCTGTAATCAGGCAATGCATGAACATAGATTGAGTAAAGACCCTCATGTCCTTTAAAGAACATCTCCCAAAGTGGAGCAAATGGTAAAGGCCCTTTGGTGAGAAACATGAAAGCCAATTTAGGAACCCGTTTAAACGGATACACAATCCTCCTTGGCTCCATCGAAGCACGCCAAAGCAACTCACTGTCGTTCATTGTGTGCCAAACATTCAAAGGAGGTTTGATGAAGCTCTCTAAAGTGACAGTCCCATGATGATCATAGTTTGAGATCAAAGTGGTTGTGGTTGGAGCCACAGGAGGCAAATGTTGAATCCTCAAGAACTTGATGGTGTGTATACCAACAACTGAGATCCCAAGAGTCAGAACAAGAAACAACAGCAAGATCTGAAGCAGTCGCATTGAAAATAGAGCCCTAGATTGGTTTGTGAGTCTTGATTTAAGGGGTGATGCTGCATTGTCTTTAACCCCTTCCTCCATCTCCACTACCATCGCTTTCATCTTAAAGCTCCAAGCTTTCTTATATAGCTATCACCAAATGCGTACGCAGAGATAAAAAAAAAAAAAAAAAAAAAAATTCGAAAGTCACTGTTACTTACACAAGAACAGTGTTTTTGGTAACAACACTGAAAGAGAAAAACAGAGGTTTAGAAAAATGGGTCCTTTTGTTTTTTGAAAGAAACCCAGAAAAGAAAATTGGGATTTTCAACGAAGCAAGGATTCGGAAGAAAGAGAGACGAATTCACCACGTTTCATTTACGGATTTTCTTTCTTAAAAATTGAAACTTGAATCTAGAAACGTACCGGAGGAAACAAGAAGAAGAAGAAGAAACGAAAACAGAGGAAAAGATGGATCTTTCTCAGTTACACATAAGAGTAAACCCTCGAATTTGAGCTTCTGATTTTGGTAATGCTTCGGCAATGTTCATCTGAAACATAAGCATAAACCTAGGAGTCACATAACATTGGCATCCTCTGTAATTTGACGGTTTCAGCTTTTAGTTTCAGTGGTACAGTCATTAAGATATGTCAGTACACAAACGTACCATAGATTTTGAATGAAACTGCTTACACACTTAATACTCTAAACTCTGTAACATATGTTTCCATCACAATAAAAAATAATCTCTAAAATCCTCTCATTACAATAGCCCAATCACTGTATCTTTTTGCAAGTAAAGTTCTTACATTTCTTCCATTCTGCAAAGCTATTTCAAAGATATTGCAGTAACATTTTATTGATCTTTACATGGAAGCCTCTGTTAAAAAAACTGTTACCATGTAACAATGATTGATATGAAGAATAGAGACAAGCCAATATCTGACATCAAAGTTCATCTTTTTCGTAACTCTTATCCGGCGATGAAGTTTGCAAGTCAAGAAGATATCTTGTGGCCATGGAAGCATGAAGAGAAGCACCATAAGGAAGCAACTCTTCATTGACCTCAAAATAAGGCGAGTGAGGGCTCGCCATTGGTGAGTGAGCTTCGTTTTGCATTCCAAGGAAACCAAAATGTCCAGGCATTGCTTCTTGGTAGAAAGAGAAATCCTCTGACCCCATCAACGGTTGCATCTCGAAGTAATTCTCAGTCCCAAACAAATCTCCTGAAACGTTCTTGAAAAACTGGTACAAGCCTTTGTCGTTCACAGTTGGTGGGAAGAAAGGTTTCTGCTCTGTGAGGAAATCCACTGTTGCATTACACATATGCACACTCGCTTGCCTCGTGATGACCTGAAACATCAGACTCGCAAGAGAGTTTAACAAAGGAAGACAAGAGAGAGTCTCAAAGTAACACATGAGAGTGAAAAGTCACTGACCTGCTCAATTCTTTTCTTGAGTTGCTTAAAGCTTTTAGTTGAAAAGGCTCTGAACGTTCCACCGATAGTAACAGAGTCTGGAATCACATTAAAAGCACCACCGCCTTCAAATTTCGCCACTGTAACCACCTGCAAACACTCACATAGATCATCAACACACTCCCCACTTCACATTTCTCTACATGGTTTCGTACAGAGACATCTTGAAGAGCCAAAGACTATATTTTTTTTATACCTGCGAGTCTAAAGGATCGGCTTCTCGTGAAACGAGGTGTTGTAAACTAACAATGATGTTTGAAGTTGCCAATATCGGATCTATGGCGTGCTGAGGAAGAGCTGCGTGACCTCCTTTACCGCTTATCTTAGCTTCGAAAAAGCCACTACCAGCCAACATTGGACCTTCTCTCGAGCTCACTTGACCTAATCCCAGTTGATTTGTCACATGTAAACCAAAGATTGCACTCACATTCTCCAATACTTTAGCCTCCACGATCTTCTTTGCACCTCCTCCTCCTTCCTCAGCTGGTTGGAAAACAAGAATCACTGTACCCTAAGATGGTTCCAAGAAAATGTATAACAGTTCAGAGACCAAAATGCTTCCAAAGATTCAAACTTTTTAAAGATATATAACCTGTAGCTCTTCTTCGTGTTCTTTGAGCAACTTCGCAGCACCGAGGAGCATCGCAGTGTGAGCGTCATGCCCACAAGCGTGCATCATCCCTGGAACCTTACTCTTGTGTTCCCATTCCACCATTTCCTACACAATCCAACATCACTTTTGCCAATTAGGATCCACCAAACATAGAGCACACAGAGAAACAACAAATTAAGCAAATCTTCCACTAAAGTATAGTGATTTGTGGAAAAAGTAGAGTAAAGGTTCCTCCTTTTCTAGTATCCAACACTAACGAAAAAGCTACACTGTTCCATGAAGTCAGATGAGAGAACAAGTCAAATACCTGCATAGAAAGTGCATCCATATCTGCTCTCAAAGCAACAAAAGGAGCTTGACCAGTACCAACATATCCAATAACACCAGTTACAGCGACTGGGTACTTATAAGACACACCCATCTTCTCCAATTCTGTTCTAACGAGCTTAGATGTCTCTACTTCCTCGAAACCTAATTCTGGGTTCTCATGGATTTTCCTTCTGATTCCAACCATCCAATCGGAAAAATCATCTCTTTTAGCCAAAGTGAGAAACTTTGAAGGGATTTGAGAAAACCCATTAGAGGTTAAGGAAGAGGAAGAAGATGAAATCATGAGACACGGATTGAGCAAGTGAAGAAGGAGCAAAACAGAGGAAACCCATTTGCTGAAACTCATGGCTAGATCGAATCAATCGATTGATTGTGTTGGAGGAAGATGAGATCGGAGAGAGAGAGAGAGAGAGTAGTTTGTTCTCTGCGTGATGATGAAGCAGGGAAACAGGAAGCAGAGAGTTGTATTTAAATCCAAAATAGCAGAAGCCAATGACAACACGGGAACTTTAAAAACCTTTCACTGTGTCTTTTTAATTTTCATCAAATCTTCATCATTTTTTATTATTTTAGAACAAACAATTTGTAGATATTGTGATCATTTTGATAACTTTTTGAAAAGGGTGATGGAATTGGAATCTCAATCTTGTGTTTGGATTAAAACCTAAAATGTATATAAGCCAAACAAAAGCAGTTCTGCTTTTTTCTCTTTTGGAGTTTCCACATTTGGAATTTGTAATTATGACGTGAAAGAAAGAAAGTATGCATGTATTATCCCCACAATTTTCAACAGGATTAGAGCAAACTAATAAATCCACAAGTAATAAACACTATTCTTTCAATCATATAAGGTTTAAAGGTTTTATGCATTTCACTTTCATAGTACTGATTTTCGAAATCTTTTTTTTGTTTGGAGAATCATTTCATCTTCATTTTAGGCAAATTGTGGCACTTGAAAAGGAAAAAGATAAAATAAAACTGAATGGCTTAAATTGAATTTGTTGGCCGGTCCATTTCTTGTTGATACAAACAACTACAAAAACACATGTAGAACGTGTTCAATGAATTCTTCTTTCTCCTGATATTTATTGTTGGCGATGTCCACTACAATGATTTTTAGAAGATTACAAAAACAAAAATCAGATGTACTACTAGAGAGAAAAAAAAAGAGACATAGACACAATTAAGTTCACCTTTTTCTATAGCTGATTTTAAAAGAACAAAAGTTATAATCTTTTTATTCTCTCTTAAAGAGTTACCCAAATGTTTGTAGGATTTGTGACTCTGTGATAAACGCAGAGCAAGAAAAGAAAAGGCTTTCTTCTTCATTAACAAGAACTTGAGAGCTGAAAACAAGCCATTTAAGCTAACTTTCCATAGCTGAATTCTTAAGAACAAGAGCTTTTACTTTTTTAACAACAAAAAGCTTTGATTCCTGAAGAACATAAGTTTCAATTTTCAAGGACATAGTTAATACTGAAACATTTTCTTCTCTCTTAAGAGGTACCAGAATGTCTGAAGGAATCGAGATTGTTCAATGATTCTGTAAGCTTTCTGAAACACAATGATATAATAAACACAGAGCAAGAAATGAAAGACTTTCTCTTCAATGACAAGAACTTGAGAAAAAATAAAACAAACAATTTGAGTTAACCTGAAACAAGCAATTCTCTCTAAGCAGCAATCTCGTCTCTCCCATCTAATCTCAGTTGTACACCTCAACCACTAACTATATTTACATTTGCTCATCTCTCTGCCTCTCTCTTTCTCTCTCTGCACGACTAAATGTCTCAAATCTTTAAACCCAAAACAGCAAAACTCACCAGTGGCTTCTCCTAAAGCCAGCCTATTTTCATCTCAGATTGATGAAGAGAGAACAAAAAAACGTAAAGCCGGCCAAAAGTCTTTCTTCAATCTCTCTCTCATGTTTTGGTTGCAGCTGGCAATAATGCTCGGTGTTGCGTTTGTCTTGCTGAACCTTTCAACACTTCGTTTATCCTACTGAAGACTACTTTCAACGGTATACAAGCTACAACTGTTTCCTTTGCTTTTCCTGTTGTCTGCTTCTTGCTTCTTTCTGTCAGCTTCTGGCTCGTTAGAGCAGAGAGCCGCCTTGTCTTTACCAACAGGGAAGACGGTTTCTTCTTCTTCGAGTTATTAAAAGCACCATTTGATTTCTTCTTCTTGCCCTTATTTTTGGACAATGACGACTTCGTCTTCACAACAACTTGAGACATCGCCATACCGTTGCCATAGACTTCTTCTTCTAAGACTTCAACACTTAAAGGATGGCCAACAATAGATTTACCGTACAATTCACTCATACGAGAAACCAAAGGAACACTCCGGGGTTTGCTGTAGTTGGCTTTTACCTCAATCTTCACATCGAACAGCGTAGAAAGAGGGAGAGGACTGTTGTTATTAGCCTCTTCGCCGAACACATTTCTACTCGCTTCTTGCTTCTTACTCATCTGCCTCGAGTTCCTCTTTCCTTTCAGCTGCCACTTGGAAGTGCTGCTCTTCTCAATCCCGTTCGAGTTAAAAATGACAAGCTGTGAAGCTGGTGGAGGATCTGTACAATCAGACCCATGGTTGTCCTCTGTCTTAACAAACACATCATGGCTACTACTACGACCACGCCGCCTTGTCAAACTAGAAACAAGAACTCCCCTCGGTGAGGGAACTGTGCAAGCTCCCGGAAAACCTAAAACAACAACAATACAGGTCATCAGCATCAATGACAATTGTAAGCACATCCAAACTACAGAAGCATTTAGCTATAAAACTATCATAGGGAAGCTACGAGGTTTAACCATTTATATATATACCTGCAGAGTGTTTTGCTTCTCCAGTTAAAGGAACCTCATACAATTGGTCAGAAGAATCATTCTCCGCCGAGACTGATACACTAGAAATCTCACTGTCCTTGGCCTTGTTGTTATAAAAGTCTCTGACAACAATTGCAGAACCACCATTCTCGCATGACATCACGGTGCTGTCTGAGTTATTGTTGATTACAACAGACACAGATTTCATGGATTCGACAGACTCCATCCCCGGTACTTTGCTGTCATAAACCCCTTGACACTCAACAAGCTGGTCACAGGTCACAGGGACACTGACCATAGCTGTACTCTCCAACACCTTTGCCAATTGCCTGCGTCGGTGGTGTTTCCTTTTAGAGCACTCATTAGCGTTTATCACCTGTGACCTTTTCCTTTTCAGTGACAGTGGGGAGCATCCTTTGTTCCCATTGGCGAGAACATTTCCATTTGACATTGAGTCACCGAGGTTTGCATCACAGATCAAACCCATTTCTTGCTTAGCGCCGAGATGTTCTTTCCCAATATCCTCAAGCCCTCTCATCCGCTTGATTCCTTCAGTGCCATCATCTTCAGAGTCATTCGGCGTTCTTCTTCTCCTCCTTGGCTGCACTTTCAGAGCTTCAACATCGTTCATTTCTTGTGAAGACATACTGGACTGCAATAGCTCCGGCGCTGAAACCAACTCATCCTCAGTCTCTTCTTCATCAGCAGAGTCTGTAACCTCATCGTCTTCGCCAGAGTTACACAGACTCTCATCTGGATGATCTTCTTTCGCAAGATGTGCATTCTCAATCTCTAGAGCATCGTTAATGGCAACTTCTCTGCGAGTACACTTGGCAGTCTTCTTGATACTCGAGCTCGCTGCAGTACCAACCGCCTTCGCCTTCTCAATGCAAGCAGCATACTCTTCACAGCGAAATGGCTTCACCGTCTTGGACTTTTCAAGAACATACCAGTCCCTGGAGTCATATAGGAAAACACTTTTAACCATATCTCCTAATGACTCAAGATATTGAAGAGAAACTCAAGATTGTGGAAAAGGGAAAAGAGAAGACTCACACGCCAACATCGTCACGGCCAAGAAGCTTTATTGGAGTGCCGACTTGTGGATGGGACAGAGAGTTCTCAGGGACTTGGTCATGAACCAGAGTCTGACCGGGCCACCAAGAGCCGTTACGGCGACGAACCCAAACCAATCTTCCTACAGACTCATTAATCGCCTTCAAGTTTTGGTCATCATTACTCTCCATTGCACAAAAACTCTCAAAACCCTCAAGAACCAAGGAAAAATGAAAACTTTCGAACTAACCTAGAAAAAAATCAAAACTTTATGATTTGAAAAATCTCAATGAAGGTACTCTCTTCAATTAGACAAGAGCTTTGCCTCTCCCTTGAATCCTGCAACCAACAAGAATCAGTGGAAAAAACTTTAAAGACCCCAACATGCAGAACACAAGCGGCGCAACTTGAGAACAATTGCTAAACTTGTTGAAAAAGAGTTTCTTGAGAAAGAGAGATCTGGGAAAGAAGAGCCGTACCCGAAGAAACAGAGATCCAGATACTTAATTGGCTACTCTGCAGGCGTTTCTTCTCTCTGTAGAAAAGGTTTCAATCTCTCTATCAATCAATAGCATTTACACCGCATTTCTCTTTGGGGTTTTAACTCCGGCGGTTTGGAGAAGAAACGCAGCGAATGGAAGAAAAGGGTGAGAGAGAGAGAGAGGGAGAGGAGAGAGAAAGGGCTGGTTTTGGATGGAGAGAGAGAGAGAGAGGAGAGAAGAGGAGGTAAAGAAAGCACATCCAAACTACAGAAGTGAACGACATCGTTTTGGGAACTTTTGTCCTCTGCTTTAGGTTATTTATCTCTCGTTACGTTATATTCCTCTGGCCACGAGGCAAACCGTGGAGTTCTCTCTGTTCAGACATCTCAAAGGTGTCAAGTTTGGTAATAATGACGGTGAGTTCGGTCAACATCACTTCCAAAGTTTAAGATTTTCTTCCCTCATTTGACATTAAACCTTTTACCAAATTTCCATAGTTTACTTTGTTTTGACAATCAAAATCTACACAAACAGTGTGAGGTTGTTGATGACTGAATAGTCTCTAACTATACCAATCCAAGAACAAGACGGAGAATGTAAGGACGACGAAAAACAGCATGAGAAAGGTTCTGCTGCCTCTGTTACGCTGGATTGCTTGAGAAAGCTCTCTGTTTCCAAGCTCCACGTTGTTTGTTGCCTCAAGCGCCTGCATTTTAAGTATCAAACTGAGTGAGAAATAGGCCACAAGGTTCACACACACACACACACAGAGAACAGTGCGTTGACGAGAGAGCTTAAGAGGAGTTATCAAAGTCCTAACCTGGTAAAATATAACTTCAATCTGTTGGGCTTGTTGTAGAACATGAGTTGCCATTAAGTGATTCAGAGCAGACATCTCCACTATCTTAGTCTCTATCTGCCTAGCACCATCTAAAAGATTACTTAGCTCTACCTGCAAAAAAATACAAAAAATTCAAGATTTTAGCACAAGTACAAAAACTAATACAAGCTTTTGAAGGAGTAGATAGAGTTGTCTTTGTGTTACCTGAAGGGCTTGTGTTTCATCGTCTAGAAGTTGCTGTTGTAGTCTACGAGGCTGAGCCTGAATTTCATCTGGTTCTCTGGACTCTGGATTTGCCAAAGCTGCATTAACTGGATTAGCTTCCTTTGCGACCCTCTTAGGTTTCCTTCTCGGCATAGCTCTGTTGATAATATCTTGGAACCGAGTAGCTCTAAGCTGGTCAAACTTTGCCGTGACCGAATGAAGTTTCTCGCTCAGAATCAAAACCTGCCAACATTTTAAAACTACCATTACGTCTACACATCTAGATACTTCCAATGAAAAGACCAAAGTTGGTGCATATCATACCACTCCATGTTTGTGTGCTATAGTAGCAGCATTGGATTTATCTCCTGAGAGGCCAAGCCATCCTTTGGAGTTTGCTTCTTCATTTCTAATGCTGTTCTCGAGCCTATCGATTTGTTCTTTGCAAACTTTAATAAAAGCAGTTATCTGCAAGATAAGAGTTTGATGGTATCATCACACACACACACACACAACTAGGCATAGTTCCATATGTCTTAGCTCAGAGTTGCTTACTTCTTGTTCAATGCTATCTTTTTCCTGTTCTGTAGTCCGGTGCAGATCAACGTAATCTTTTCGATGCTTGGACATAAACTGATCCAACTCCTTGATGCGTTCCAGCTAAAACCAAAACCAAGCAACACACCACACACACAAGAATTATTCGATAATGCAACTTGCAAATCCGGTCAAATTTACAACTCCAAATGCTAAAGTTACCGTAAAGTAAACAGCTTTCGTGAAAGGCGATCTCTCCTTTGGCTTATGTATGATAAAAGACGCCATTGTTGACGCCACTTTAGACTGCCACACAATGCAAACGAATCAAGTGAATGTCAACGAAATCAACAATCCCAAAAATCCTGAAAACTTTAGGAGAATGATCAAATCGACATGCAACAAGTTCCGAAATTTCTCGTGAAATTCGAGACAAATGGCTCCGATCGAACGAGATTTTAAGATGAGATATGGGACTCGTACCTCGTTGTAACCCATCGAGACAGCGGCTTTCCGAACAGAATCCTTGAAATCCTCTGTCCTGTCTCTGAATCTCGACATCTTGTACAGAAATTCAGATCGATCACTGCTTCTTCCGTATCCGATTTCTATCACTCAGTCAATACAATTAGAATCGAAACAAAAATTCGATTGTGAAAGAAGGGTTTTTGCTCCGGCGATTCGGAGAAGCAACACAAGCGAATTCAGGAAGAAGAAGAAGAAGATCAGAGAGAGGAGATGCGAGGAGAGAGAAAGGCCTTTCCTTTTTTCACTTTCGTAAAAAAAAAAAGTGTGACAACTCTATCAGCAGAAACGACACCGTTTTTGGGATCTTAAAGTTCTCACCTTTAGGTCATCCTCTCTTGGCCACGACTCGACTCACTGTGGAGTTCGATATTCAGACAATCTCAAAGCTTCTCACGACAAAGCTGTCGTCAAATTTGGTCATCATGACGGGTGAGTTCGATCAAATCCTTTCCAAAAGTTGCATACTTTATTAGTTTTAACATCGAAAATCTGTACTTTTATTCATTGGAGAGCTGTGTATCTGTGAATCCATGGGAAAGCAATTGGATTCCGATTGATCTCGAATTCTGATTAATTGATCTGAGGATATACATAAATTGGGTTTCTTTTTGTTTTGTGCCTCTTTGTAGAGTATAAGCAGGAGCAAGAGATGGAGATTGAAGCTCTTGAATCTATACTTGCTGATGAATTTAAAGGTATTTCTTGTTTTCTCATAAGTTTTTTTTTTTCTGTTTCATCGTTGAGCTGATGAGAGCATTGAATTCTTCCACTACTGTACTGTGTAACAGAGATTCATTCTAGTGAAAGTGGGCTTAATACTTCGGACCGATGCTTTCAGATAACAGTGACTCCTCAGGTAGAGAACACTATTCATCTCCTCACTACTTGCTTTTGATCAAATGATCCTTGTTGAGCCTTACCGATATACTGTATCAGCTTCTATTGGTTGTTTAACAAGCTGTATGTGATTTTTGAAAAGCTTTATGTGTAGCCAATGTATTAATGTCAAGTGATATATGTTCTGTTGTAGCAACTTGATGTTCCTCTGATCCTCTGCTTCTTCTTTTGCCTTTAATTAGGATGATGATGAAGAGGAGTCATCAATCCCACCAGGTTATTACTACTCTTTAAGAAGATCCCTTGTTGTATCATATGCCTCCTCTCATGTACACTCTTTAAGTCTGAGAGCTCTCAATTTTGTCTTGCAGTTCAGCTAGGTTTGGTTTTCTCTCACACGGAAAATTATCCGGACGAGGTTCCGCTTTTGGATGTCAAAAGGTAATTCTAGGTTTAACCATTTTCATTAAGCTAATACAGATATATGATGATGATGATGATGACACTCATGTTGGTAGTTAATTCTTCTTCTTCTAGTATTCGAGGAATCCATCTTAGTGACCTCGCCATCTTAAAAGAAAAGCTTGAACAAGAGGTAAAATCTCTCTTGCAACTTTATCATAATTTTCTATGGAAGGTCTCTAGTCAATCACTTCATGAATCACAAACCCTCTGTGGTATTCAGTTCAGTTTTTTTTATGAGTTGTTATCATTAGAACTAAGAACTTCATGATGCCGTTTTCACAGGCAACTGAAAACCTTGGTATGGCCATGATCTATACACTAGTGTCATCTGCAAAGGACTGGTTGTCTGAACACTATGGGCAAGATGATGCAGCTGACCTTGCAGAGGAAGAAGCTGCCAAAGAGGATGAGGTATTGTTGTCTGCTCATTATTTCGGATGTATAAACTGCAAAGCACCTCAAGTCTTGCTTCCATGATATAGGGTTCTGTTTTGTTCTCAACACTTTTTATGAGGTATATATGCTTTCTTCTCTTCCTGACTAAATTTCTTGATACAGGTTATTGTCCCTCATGGAGAGCCTGTTACGCTGGAGACATTTGTGGCATGGAGAGAGAGATACGAGGCAGAGCTTGCACTTGAACGGGCGAAGTTAGTAACTTTTCCTGCATATTCTTGTTCAGTTGTTCCCTTGCTCTGATCTACCAATGATGGGCATTGTTAATAATGGCTGCTTGAGTTATTAACTTTTATCTGTGGCTGTGATTAAACTTTCAAGACTGATGCCGGAGTCTGCTCTTACTGCACCTAAGGAGAAGAAGCTTACAGGAAGACAGTGGTTTGAGAGTGGCAGAGCGGTATTTTTCATCCATGCTTACTATTTAGTGCAGATTAATCATCAGGATCTTGTTGCAGCTTCGTTTTCCAAACAATTACTATCGTTGTAAACTATCTGTCCTTGTGCCATTTGCAGAGAGGAACAGTGGTCGCTGCTGATCAAGAATCTGAGGAGGAAGATGCTGAAGACATTGACTTTGAAGACGAAGATTTTGAAGGTAAAAATGTTCGTTATGTTTGGTTTACACGTCGCCATTCGAAAAACATGCAATGGTTCTTGAGGATCATATTTGTTTGTTTGATACAGATGATGAAGAAGACATGCTTGAGCACTATTTGGCGGAGAAATCTGATGCTCCCTCGTCACGGACATGAAGCTAGGGAGCCTTATACAATGATTATTGGAGCTCGTTCCTGGATAGAGATCATGATGCAAGAGACTGACTTTACAGTCCGCAGCATTCAGTCTCCATATCCACAATTTTCCAAGCTTTGTCTGCATGTTATATTTACACTCACCGTCTGTTCATTTATAAGAACACTTTATGAGAGAATGTCACTGATTTTGTAGCTTTTTTTGTTAAGAATCAGCTCAAAGCAAATCTCTCTGTCAAAAGACAAATAGTTGAAAAATTATTTGGCAACCCATTTTTGTTTAGTATCTTCTCCTATCTTTGCAAGTCAAATAGTTTTAGTGAACATATATTATAGCTGATAAATAATGTTCCTATTAGAGTACGTAATTTCTAAATAATGACATAGTCTTGCATCTAATATATATGTTACAGAGAGTCCAATATGCCTTCTTCATTAGGTTTTTAGACGTACAATCCTGCGGGGACTCTAATATGCAATGTCCTTCTTGAGCTAAACACAACCTTGGTCCGTCATAGCTTGAGCTATGTTCAAAAACGCCGAAATTGTTGCTCCGTGTAGAAGTGCCCTGGAAAAGAAACAACAACAAAAACTTTCAAATCTTTAGGATTCACAATTAGTACAGAGAGCATCACAGTAACAGTGACTGATGACGCTTACTCAGGACTTTCTTTCTGATAACCGAAATCATTTGCTGCTTTAAGAGCTTTCTCATAAGTTTGCTTCAGTGCTTCCTGTCAATACGAGAGCAACTAGCGTATTAACAGACAGAAAATCATCATCATAGGGTCAAAGGGATAATAATGGAGCAGAACAAAGCTGTGACATTCGGGAAGAAATGTGAGAGATGTTGTTACCTGTAATCTGGATTCGAAATCTTCTGCTGACCATTGCATTGAATTAGATTCACGAAGTACTTCGATTTCACCAGCAGCAACCTTCAACAAAATTATACAGTTTAGCTACCACCATTTGAATAATCTATAAGATATAAAAAACTTCTTTGTGCTTTTAGGTTCACATTCCGCATATACAATCGAAAAGAAGCTGTTAAAGATCTAAAACTCTCAGCAAAACCACACTCCTACACATTATTTTATGGCAAAAGCAGAGAATTCCTCTCCAATGCCTTAGTGTTGTAATTTAATGATGGGAGAGACTAGTAAGAATAGGTTAAATTGTAGTCTTGATGTCATAAGAGTTAAAGAAGAAACTTACTCCTCCAGCTCCAGCAGCAATGGCAGGAGCAATCAGAACATTCGCCTTTCTGAAAACATCGACTGCTTCAGCTGTACACGGCATGTTTGAACCTGCAGGAAAACACAGCCATAATGCTTAGAATGAGGTAACATAAGAGAAAGTTAAAACACAAAACGAGAAACACTGAAAAAATTTGCTCCATAAGAAAATCTCTACCTTCTACCAGTAAACGGCAGCCTCCGTTGACCAGATTAATGGCATCTGCTTGATCAACTTCATTCTGAGAAGCACAAGGAAACGCCACATCACACCTTTCGTTCCACGGCTTTACTTCATCAAAGTATTTCGCCCTTGCATAGGTCTTGGAATAGTCTCTACATATCAGACGTGTGTACAGTTAGGGATCTATATCATTGGCCAAGTGAAATATACCATTAAATTCTAGAATGAAAAAATACCTGAGACTTCTCTGTTGGGATTTGATATCTCTCAAGAACGCAAGTTTCATATAATCAAATCCGTCATCGTCCACCAAATATCCTTTTGAATCTGCAAAAAGTTTGCATCAACAAAAAAAATCTGTGACATAAATCTAGGCAATTTTTTACTCTTAGCTCAACGGCAAAAAGGCAGAGAAGCTACACAGTTGAATTGCTTCGAATCTGAAATGATAGGATTAGTAGATCACCTGAAACTGTAACCGGATGGGCTCCACACGCTATTAGCTTCTCTACAACATGCATAGCAATCTTCCCACAACCACTCACAACACATCTGAAATGAGTTCAGAAGGGTTTATGATTTCATAAGATGAGAGTTGCAGAATTGACAAGTCACAGCATCAGCGTTATGTTGGAAGCCAAACATTCAGATGGACTAGTTTTTGTACAAGCTTATAAAAATGACAGAAACATTATGAGAACTAAGAAATGGCTGATTAAATAAACTCAGAGATTTAGAAAGAAACCTTAGTCCCTTTATTTCCTTATTCATGTCTGCAAGCATAAGTCGTGCAAAGTACACCTGAAAGAATGCAAATAAATTTTAGTTCATACAGAGTGATGCATTGTGAATAATATAACAAAGGATATAAAAAAAAAAAACTTACCACCCCATAGCCACTAGCTTCAGTTCTGAGGCTAGAAGCAGCCCAATATATACGTGGTCCTGTAAAACTTCCCTGCATAAGTAATTGACACAAAGATATAACAACCAAAACTCTTTATTCTCTCCCAACAGAAAAAAAATCTGATGCAAAGTTGTGTGCGTACAGGAAAACTATAGCCGATGACATTTAACACTAAAATGATCCAGAATATGATAGAACAAATACATATGCTAATAGGGATATGTTCTTCCTCCAAAACTACAAATGTTACTCCCTCAAAGGATAAAAAAACAAAGAAGAACAAAAATTCCAACTTGATAAGAAGTAAGTAACTTATTAAGCAGGATGTAACGGATAAGTATCAAGAAAAGCTTCAGCGGCCAAGGACTTTCAGTACCTGAAACTGACCAGCAAGTCGTCTGTATTGTCCAAAAAGATATCCCATTTCCCGAGTACCAACACCAACCTCCTCTGACGGAAGATCCTAGAATAGATAGTACATTAGAAAATCATTGCAGAAGATATATACTTGCTAAAAGGGAAAAAAAGCCATTCAACTTACTTTGTCAGGACCCATGTATCTGTACATCTCATTCATGAAACTTTGGCAAAATCTCATAATCTGTAAAAACGTTGCAAAACAACATATCAGTACATCTGTAATGATCACTTGCTGAGAGAAAATGCAAGGGGCCAAGATGTCACCTCATTGTCACTTCTCCCTTTAGGATCAAAGTCGCTTCCACCAGAAGCCCCTCCCAGTTTATATGGTGACAAAGCATTTTTCAATGTCTGCGAAGGATTACAAACAAATTACAATTCCGAGTTAAGGCCACCAGGAAAATCAGAGGAAAGATAATAGCATGTAAACCGATAAAAACCATTGTACCTGCTGAAAGCCAAGAAACTTAGCAATGCTTAAGTTCATGGATGGATGAAACCGGATACCTCCCCTACATGGACCCAGTGCTTGATTGAACTGAACTCTAAAGCCACGGTTTACATGCGTTTCACCACGGTCATCAATCCATGGAACTCGGAAAACTATCATACGTTCAGGTTCTAACAGCCGCTCCATGATATTGACATAACTGAAATACATCATCACAATGGGATCATGTGATTTGGATCCTGTTTCCTGAAAACTATTTTACAAAGATGAGAAGTACACTGTAACTTACTGAGAATTTTTTGCAATTACCCGCTCTAGAGCATGAACGGATTCTTGTACAGACTGAATAAATTCAATCTCATTAGGATCTCGTTTCAGGGCACCCTCAACAATTGAACCAGCACTCTTCGACATCAGAGCTTCATTGAGACGGAAAAGCACAAACAGTTAAACATAATAAGCAGGGCACTAGTCATGCTATACAGAGATGCAGACAACCAATAGAGAAGTACCAAATCCAGAGAACAAAGTAGTCAACCTTTTTCTTTCATATTGTAAAACCAATACTACACCAGAAAAGTACCACACCTAGAAAAAAAGAGGAAGAGATCTCTCTCCTGATCACAAAAATTTGACAAATAACTATTCTTTCATTAAACTATTTGCATCGGTTAGTAAAATGTGTTAGCTGAAAGGTTGTTCAGTTCAGGCTGGTTAAATGGAACACAAGAGATGCAAATGATCATTACTCGCTACACAGAAAAGGAGATCAACAACTTACTCTTCACATAAATGGGCTTGTCAACAACAATCTTATCTTTGGAAGCTGTTTGGAGACGCAGAGCCTCCTTGTGTAGCAAACTATTGTTGTGTTCCTCCAATGCACTCATCTGCATGTTTCTACTTCCTTCATTTCCGTAAGGATTCCTCCGGTGTTTCCTGCCATACTCTCTGCAGATAGAACAGAATATCCTCGCCGTTCCATCCTTCATATCGACATACGCCCACTTGTACGTGTCAGCCCATTCCTCTCTCCACCGTTTGACAACTTTCTTCTTCCTCTTCGCCGGTGTCCCCTTTGACATATCCTGATCCTCACTGGGCAGGTCAGATACCAAAACCATATGCTTCGTCTCGTCATGTTCTCCAGTGGAAGGCTCTCGTGGAGGCCCACCGATCAGTGAGTTGCTAGCAAAAGCGGCTTCATCCTCTCCAGGTCCAATTTCCAAATCAATCTCTTCACCAAGATTGCTTACAACAAGCTGATGCCTCTGTGCCTGCTGGATTAAGTTCATATCATCCATTGAGGGATTCATCCCCAACCCACCTGTTGCCCCAAACATTCAGCATCACCAGTTGTAACTCCACCTTAGCTTCTCTTTTGCTGATTAACAGCAACTGTATCTTACACGTGGCACAACACCCCAGAGGTAGACCTAGTGCGCAACAGAGATAAACGGACCACAATCAGAACAAGGCCAAATAAAAAAAAAAAAAAGATATTCTCATACCAGCAACAACATGAACATTACAATTCGAAATTTCCTTAGAATTATGTAAAATCAGAGACTATATATCCAATTGAGTTAAATCCATTTTGATCATCCACCAAAAAAAAGCAAGTTATTCCTCTAAGCTTGTGAGCATATATGAAGGAGAAATCGATTACAAATCCAGATAACGAAATGATATTCTCTCACTGAGGAATCATAGTATAAAACATCAAAAAATTGTAATTTATAGAAGCAACTCGTAAAGTTTGTGAATTTTGCCACAGAAATCAACTCCAAAACTCAGAAAGACTTGAATCAAACCAAAATTTACTGAATAATAACCTAACAAGCCGCCGCACTTGAAACAGTGATCAAATCTAAACAATCAATCACAGAATCAATAAAGAAGATTTTGGCATTTCAAAGGATACCCAGAGGTTAGAAACTTCAAAATCAGTGAGAAAACCCAAATACCTGCTGAATTTTTAGCAGATAATTTCGTCCAAGTCCGAAAAGATTGCAACTTTACTTTGCCTGTAGCGACGAGTCGCCGAGAAAGGGAAACCCAGAAAGAGACAAAAAGGATGCTCTGCTCAGAACTACTCGGTAAAGTTACTTTCGTCGCCGATTATGATGAGAAGAGGCTTTGAGCGGGGATAAAAGGGATATTATCGACCAAAAACGATTGTTGCAGAAGCAATTATAAGTAAGAAATCATACCAATCCCAATATCAGACATAATAAGAGGTGAGAACTATAAACTATGGTTTTAATCTTTTTACTTACATGAAATGAACAGATTTTTACTTATCGTTTTTTTACTAAATTATTGTATAACTCCCGGGTCTAATCTAGTCTTGCAATACATATGTATACGGCTCGTTATAACTTATAAGCCCGTTAAACGAGTCAACTCTGAGGCCGGTAATTATAAACCTTAATTAACATGCTGATTATAAGTGTGGACATGTGTGATACGAACCTCGTCTATCCCCCAGACCACAAACCTAGGAATTCCATAGCTCACCCACACACACACACACACACACACATTCTCCTAGTTGCCCTTTTTGGTGTCAGCTCACAACTAACCAGCTTGTAGTCTGCTGTTTCTTAGCTGTCGAATCCACAATGGAACAAACTACCTAGGCTAGTAGCAGTTCTGCAGTATACTATTAAGCATCCCTTATCAGTGTGATTCTTGGTGTTTGGTTGTTGTTTGCTAACTTTACGGTGCTTGGACTCTAGACAATGCAAATTCACAGAGTTTTGTTCTAGTAGAAAGTGAATAAACCCAACTTTTTGAAAGGCATTGTAATTTGTAGAAACCGATGTCAGGTTTTGTTTGTATATTCAGAAAATCTGGGCATCCGTCTTGTCAACTAACAAGTATTACAATTGATTTCAGGGTTGCAGTGCTGGCCTTGTCAATCTAGGCAACACGTGCTACATGAACTCCACGCTGCAGTGCTTAAAATCTGTCCCAGAGTTGAAATCTGCATTATCCAAGTCAGTTTTATCTCTCTTATCCTTTACTGTTCTTAACAATGAAAATTCAGAACAATGTCTATATTCAATATCGTTATCTCGTATAAACAAATTCCTCTTTAACAGCTACTCACTTACTGCACGAAGCAGTGATGTCGACCAGACTTCTCACATGCTCACACTCACAGTTGCCACACGTGAGTTATTTGGGGACCTTGATAGAAGTATCAATGCTGTTTGGCCTACGCAGTTCTGGATGGTTTGTCTTGTTTATGTAATACTCTCTTATATTTGTGCATACATCTGCCAGGGTTGCACTGTCTATTTGTGGTGAGCTCAATTTTATCTGAGCTGGTTAATCAATCAACTGACAGATGTGTCTTTCAGAAACTTAGAGATGAGGAAGGTAAAAAGTTCGGACTCAAAATGCAGAGAGTAGCTCAAAGGACACCGTTGTGAAAATGACTGATGCAGAGGTACCATACATATCTATTTACTTATAAGATCATATGTTAAAGTAGAAACTTCTATGAAGATTTTTTTTGCTCTGTATTTGTTTGCAGGCGTCATCAAATGGAAGCGCAGAGTCATCCACCGTTGCCCAACCTGAAGGTACTGTATCTAAGACCCCATTTTCAACATCTTTCTGGTCTGATTCATAAACAGTCTTAATTTGGTTGTAGCTAATTCTGTTTTTTAATTGGACTTTCTTTGTAGGTGCTTCTTCTGAGAAGGAAACTCACATGACAGGAATCTATGACTTGGTCTCAGTGTTGACCCACAAGAGAAGGAGTGCAACTCTGGTCATTATGTTTCGTAGGTCAAGCAAGAGAGTCCCTTCTCCCTTATCATCATTATGGATTCAGTTCACATTTTATGTAGCATTTTTGTTTTTCCATGGCATAATACTTTCAAAAGCTCCAAAACTTAAATTTTTGTTTATGGTGTGGCATTTTTATCCTCAGTTTACCCTACATTTTGAGTTCACGTCTTGGGCCATTTCAGTGGTTTTGCATAAAGATATTTAAAAAAGCATATTTAACATTTTCATTACCTTAATAGAAAATGATGTATGTGACAAGCATCTTCACACAACACGTTGAGAAAATAGGAAATGAAACAAAATAAATTATTTGTTGAAAAAACAAATAGCTGAAATAGGATCATGGATTTCAGAGTAAACCCTTGAACTATTGTTTCCAACTGAAATACATGAAATTTCCTAAATTACTCATATAAATATAAATATCTTCCAAAGAGTAAAGGAACAACATATGATGAAGCACCACTTCTTCAACATGTGCATAACCTGTACATCATCAAAACAAATAAAGATTTATTAGTATTTGCATAGTGTCACCTAGGATAAAGTGAGGGACTGCCCTAGGATTAGCCCTAGGATTCTTCGACATCTTCTCATATCTGCTCTGAAGAAACCAGTTTATTACCAATCAATGGGTGATGGAAGCATCAATGGCGTCATTCTCCATCTTGACTTCAAGGAAAAAAAATACATTTCCATCAAAGCCTCCAAGATTAAACTGAGACTTTGTCTTTCATGGAAACTGTTCTCTCTACACATAGAAGAGTTGCATCTTAGCACTCCAGAGCTGAAAATCTCCATCAGGGAGGTGAAGGGAGAGAGAAATTGGATTAGGAGGCCATTTGTGCTCAAGCTTCAACTGAAATCTTTCAATGCTCATTTGAAACAAGGGGATGTGAAGTTATCACTTCTTGGAGCTATAATTTTTATTGAAGCTGGATCATCATATATGATGGTATTACCTAAAGAACTGAAGGTGCAAACAGGGAGAGTTTTATTGACTTTTGATGATGGGCTATTGGAAAGTGAGGTTACCAACGAAACTCAAACTAGTATGGCTTTGGCTTCATTGATGGAGAGGTATGTTTGTTTCCTTCCTTCAAAGATCACAATGGAGCTGCCAACATTGGTCATTCAAGCTACAAACAGGAAATACAGCTTGGTAGCTACATTCTGCACTTCACGTTTGTTAGCATCTTTGATAAAGCTCAATGCTCAAGTGGCTTTTCAGCTGAGCATGGATATGCATTCAAAACATGAATCTCCTAGTTTGGATCAAATCATTTCATTTGTTTCATCCTCCCATCTTTTGGAACGTGTTGTTTGAACTTTTTGTTTGCAGCTGCAGCAATCTAGCTCCATCGATATCAAATTCAAAGAGATAGAATTTGGAATATCTTCCTTGATATTCCAAATCATCAAGGAATATTTGAGCAACAACAACGCAGCTGCTTCAAATCCTCTCAAGGTTTCTTTGAGCATTGAGAAACTAGCGTCCAAACTCATTCTACAAGGCAACCAAACTCTAGTTATAGAGGCTACAGAATTGGTGAGTAAGTTTTCTGTATATTTGGTTTTTTTAGTCAATCATAGGCAAATGAATCATAATTTTCTCTGCAGTTTTATGAGCTGGACCATCCTGCCATTCAGCTCAACATCAAGACTGTTTCAGTGACAGATACGGCAAGTTCAGAGACGATCCTTTCTTCTTGGCTTAGCTTCCTTCTTCCAATATGATATCTGTTAACGCAACCCTTAGTTTGTTATGATTTATTTCTTCACCTATATATAGATATATATATATAGATATATATATATATATATAAAGTTGGTGTCATTCTATTCTGCTGGAGACCCCTTCTAAATTCAGCAAAATGCCACGTCATGACTAATTTAGTTTATTGTATTTTCTTTTTTTAATATTTTAATTTCATAATAATTAGCATTCATTACTATAATAAGTTTAACAAGAATATGAAAAATCATTTAAAAAAAAAGAGAAACAAAACAGACGAGACAAGACATGATGAGACAGAAAAAAACATAACAAGAGAAGAAATGAATATTTTCAAAATTTTAAAAAGGAGAAACGAAACAGACGAGACCAGACAGGATGAGACGGAAAAAAACATAACGAAAGAAGAAATGAATATTTTCAAACTTCTTATTATATTAAATGATGAGATGGGATGTAAAGGAACGGAAATGAATGGGATACCACATAATTTTGCCTACTTCAAATTATATTTAGAGACCGAATAGAAAAAAACGAAAATAACATGATGAGACATGACAAGATGGAAAGAAACATAATGAAACGGGATAAGATTGGACGGGACGAGACAGACAAATTAGATATGACGAGATGAAAAAAACGGAATGAGACGGGAATGGGCGTGACGAGATGAACGGGACATAATGGGAAGAGAAGGGACGGGAGGGACGGGACAAAAATTTCACCTACCCCTAATTATATTTAGGGACAGGACAGAGACACGGCAAATCGAAAAAAAAAACATAACAGGATAGGATGGGACAAAGAAAGAACGGGACAAGATGAGAAGGAATAAAAAGGGACGGGATGGGACTATATGGGAATTTTGCCTATCCTTAGTTATATTTAGGGATGGGACGAGAAGTAACAGAAAGAACATGATGAGATATAACAAAATGGAAATGAACATAATGGGATAGGACGGGACGGGACAGACATGACGGATGGGACGGACAATAACGGACATGATGAAAATGAACGAAATGAGATAAGATGGGAGAAGACAATACGTTAATTTTGCGTAATAAACCACATAAATATATTAAATTTGCGGAAAAAACAATAAAATTAACACAATAATATAAATTTCCGCGCGAAGCGCGGATCACCTCCTAGTATATATATATATCCACACTTACTTTAGTACAAAGTAACTCAAAACACAACACAAAACGCTTTAAAAACATTAATTAACGGCATCTGCTTGATCAACGTCATTCTGAGAAGCACAAGTAAATGCCACATCACATCTTTCATCAAAGTATTTCGTCTTGGAATAGTCTCTGCATATCAGACGTGTGTACAGTCGAGATCTATATGATTGTCTTTTATAATGAATGATAAAACTTCCTCACACTTCTCTGCTGGGGTTTTGTATATCTATCTCAAGAACGCAAGTTTCATACAATCAAATCCGTCATCGTCCACCAAATATCCTTTTGAATCTGCAAAAAGTTTGCATCAGCATTTTCTTAATCGAAATAAACAACTCGAACTATGTTCAAAAAATAATTAAACAACTCGAACTAGTCGATAAAGTTTCTTTCGTCCACCAAAACAATAACAATTGTTGCAGACGCAATTATATGTAAATAACCAAACCAATATTTAAAAAAATTCCCAAAAATCAATCAAAGGTTAAATATAAGACGTAAGAACTGATGACTACACTCTCTCTAATTTAATTTCGGTTAATCGGATGTGTATAGTATAACACTATAACCCAAAAAAATCTTGTTGGTTTTGGCCTCCGACGTCGTTGCCGTCCCAAGCCTCTCAGTTCCAACGGCGAAGATGCTCACAGGTTTCCTTCTCTTTCGATTGCTTTCGATAAGTAAATGCGTCATCGTTTGTACTTTGTCCTCCTCTTTTATCTCCTCGAATTCGTTCGTTCCTGTCCGTGGAGATTTTGATGTACTCTATTCCGCGGTTAGGATTTCGAAATCTGGAATCGGATCTTGTTTTCTTCTCCGTTGTGAGAAGGAAGATGATTGTTTTTTTCCCCGTTTTTGCGGAATAGCTAATAGTGAAGTTAATGTTTATGCCAATTCCGTGGGGGTAATGGATGGATGGTTCGATTTGTCTACAGTTGACTGATGTAAGCCTAATTCTGTGGTGGTTTGTTTGTTGATTTGTACAGTAAGCGTTAAGTGGCAGAAGAAGGTGTTTGAAGGAATCGAGATCGACGTTACTCTGCCTCCTTCTGTGTTCAAGGCTCAGCTGTATGATTTGACTGGAGTACCACCGGAAAGGCAAAAGATTATGGTCAAAGGTGGACTCTTAAAGGTAGTTTGATTTGTGGGTTAACTGGGATCTGTGTTCTTCACCAGATTGTTTGTTTGTTTGATGTTGATGACAATTCTCTATCCTCTCATTTGATGCAGGATGATGGAGATTGGTCTGCTATTGGAGTGAAAGATGTAGATTTCTTTTCCTTTTTTTTTTTTATGAATTCATTGGCACTATTGTTTCCCTGAATTGCTTAATCTTGAAATGATGCTTATTTTGTTCATTCTCTAGGGTCAAAAACTGATGATGATGGGAACTGCAGATGAGATAGTGAAGGCTCCCGAAAAGGCCATTGTTTTTGCAGAAGATCTACCTGAAGAAGAGCAAGCCACTAATCTGGTAATTCATTTTTTACTGCTGGATTGCTGATTATAAGTGTGGACATGTGTGATATGAACCTCGTCTATCCCCTCTTATAGTCTGCTGTTTCTTAGCTGTTGTATCTACAATGGAACAAACTACCTAGGCTAGTCGCAGTTCTGCAGTATACTAACAAGCATTCCCTTATCAGTGTGATTCTTGGTGTTTGGTAGTTGTTTGCTAGCTTTACAGTGCTTGGACTCTAGACAATGCAAATTCACAGAGTTTTGTTCTAGTAGAATATTGATAAACCCAACTTTTTGAAAGGCATTGTAATTTGTAGAAACCGATGTCATGTTTTGTTTGTATATTCAGAAAATTTGGGCATCCGTCCTGTCGACTAACAAGCATTACAATTGATTTCAGGGTTACAGTGCTGGCCTTGTCAATCTTGGCAACACATGTTACATGAACTCCACGCTGCAGTGCTTAAAATCTGTCCCAGAGTTGAAATCTGCATTATCCAAGTCAGTTTTATCTCTTATCCTTTACTGTTCTTAACAATGAAAATTCAGAACAATGTCTTTATTCAGTATCGTAATCTCATAGAAACAAATTCCTCTTAACAGCTACTCACTTACTGGACGAGGCAGTGATGTCGACCAGACTTCTCACATGCTCACAGTTGCGACACGTGAGTTATTTGGAGACCTTGATAGAAGTGTCAATGCTGTTTCGCCTACGCAGTTCTGGATGGTTAGTCTTGTTTATGTAAATACTTTCTTATATGTTGTGCATACATCTGTGGGGTTGCATGGAAGCCTTGTCTCAAATGGCTTCTGCTCGTTCTTATCATCAGTATCCTTATTTCATCATTATAAGTTTCTAGTTCTTGGCTCATCGCATCAGCTTTGGTCTTGATGCAGGTATTACGAAAAAAGTTTCCTCAGTTTAGCCAGTTGCATAATGGAATGCACATGCAGCAGGTTTGTTTCTTATTGCAAACTCGGCTGCATTAAGCCTTTAACCTTTCAGTTTGTGAACCCATGCTATTACAATGTTTGACAGGATGCTGAAGAATGTTGGACACAACTGTTGTACACTCTTTCTCAGTCCCTAAAAGCACCATCATCCAGCGAAGATCCTGATGCTGTGAAAGCTCTCTTTGGTGTCAATCTAATGAGCAGGTATCCGTCCTAATTTTATTTGTAATACCTGAGTCGTTTTTTCACCTTTGCTTAGTGAATTCTATTGTGTTAATACTAGTTTCTGGGCTGTAGGCTGCATTGTCAAGAAAGTGGCGAAGAAAGCTCAGAGACGGAGTCTGTTTATTCTCTAAAATGTCATATATCACATGAGGTGAACCACTTGCATGAAGGATTAAAACATGTGAGTAAATTTTAATAATTCCAGTAGCTTTGTTTCTCATTTTGATTCCTTCAATTTTTTTTTCTCAAATATAGTGCGTGCATAGAAAGAGTAGGAGAAAGTTTGCTTGATATTCTGCATATTGTAATATATCTTGTATTTATCTTATGAACGTTCCCAATTCTTTTGGTTTACTATAGGGACTAAAAGGGGAACTTGAAAAAACATCTCCTGCTCTGGGCCGTACTGCGCTTTACCTCAAGGAGTCCCTTATAGATTCCTTGCCAAGGTGATCAGTCTCTGCTTTATTGTTTGCGACTTATGTTGCACATCTCAGTTCTCTGTAATCCTTTTGTGGCTTACTTCATAGCTAACTTAGTCAGCTTACTAATTCAGTGCAACTTGTAATCATTTGCATTCTCTGACCCGAAGTTTCTTTCTCTTCTTACTGATCTTGAAGGTACTTGACTGTTCAGTTTGTGCGATTCTTCTGGAAAAGGGAGACTAATCAGAAAGCAAAGATCCTCAGGGTACGTTTGCTTTCTGTTTTTTTTTTGTATCTTAAGCACAAATCAGGACGCGCAACAATGTTTTGGTAATGTCTCCAAAATTGTTGATCTTTGAAGAAAGTGGATTATCCGCTGGAGTTGGATGTTTATGATCTTTGTTCTGAGGATCTCCGGAAGAAACTGGAAGCTCCTCGCCAGGTTTGCACTGTCTATTTGTGGTGAGCTCAATTTTATCTGAGCTGGTAAATTTATCAACTGACAGATGTCTCTTTCAGAAACTTAGAGATGAGGAAGGTAAAAAGTTTGGACTCAAAACTAATGCAGAGAGTAGCTCAAAGGACACCACCGATGTAAAAATGACTGATGCAGAGGTAACATACATATCTATTTACTTATTAGATCATATGTTAAAGTAGAAACTTCTATGAAGATTTTTTGCTCTTATTTGCTTGCAGGCGTCATCAAATGGAAGCGCAGAGTCATCCACCGTTGCTCAACCTGAAGGTACTGTATCTAAGACCCCATTTTCAACATCTTTCTGGTCTGATTCATAAACAGTCTTAATTTGGTTGTAGCTAATTCTGTTTTTTAATTGGACTTTCTTTGTAGGTGCTTCTTCTGAGAAGGAAACTCACATGACAGGAATCTATGACTTGGTCTCTGTGTTGACCCACAAGGGAAGGAGTGCAGACTCTGGTCATTATGTTTCATGGGTCAAGCAAGAGAGTGGTTAGTTCCTTTCTCTATTAACTCTTCTTTACCCACCCTCTCTCTCTCTCTTTTACTTCTCTCATTGTACAACAATTCACATGTTTACAGGCAAATGGATTCAGTATGATGATAGCTACCCGAGCCTGCAACGCGAGGAAGACATCACAAAGCTATCTGGAGGAGGTAAACCCAATAGCTTTAATCCGCTTTGTATACACTCACATAATGTGGTTCTCGCGTTTTATTTAATCCCTTTCCTACTTGTTTTGTTGCTGTGTTATAACTTTACAGGTGATTGGCATATGGCTTACATTGTTATGTACAAAGCCCGCTTCGTCTCCATGTGATCTCTCTCTCTCTCTCTTTTGTTGATTTTAGTTCTTGAAACATACAGATCGTTAAAAGCTTTATATAGACCCACCGCAGAGAATTTCAATTGTACAATGTTTGACAGTGGATTTTGTCGCTGTACTATTATTTAGACCGACTTTTGTTTCATTTTGTCTCTTTTTTGTTTTTCTCCCCATGGCACAATGGATTTTCAAAAGCTCAAAAACTTAACCTGTGGCATTTTTATCCTCAGTTTACCCTACATTTTGAGTTCACGCTTTGGGCCATTCAGTGGTTGCATAAAGATATTTAAAAATGCATCTTTAACATTTTCATCACCCTAGTAGAAGAGACAAATCAAATAACATAGACTAATTGCAATTCTGAAACTAGCCATCAGAAAAGAAAATGATCCATAAATGAATGAAACCAGCCATCATGGCCCATCAAAAGAGAGGAATCGTTGAGATTTATAAGCATTTACAATTTAGAGCTAAGCATTGTCAATTCAAACTAAGCACAATATTTGATAGCAACAGCTCATCAGTCATCATTTCAAATCATTCTACCCAAATTAGATCATAAGGAGTGGACTATATTAGTTCTGATTTCTTAAGAGTTAAGACTTCTCCATCCACTTTGGACCACAATTTCATTTCTGTTGACTTTTCTTTCAATGTTTTACTTACTTGTTCACACTTCGCATTAATTTGAGTAATCATGACTATAGTCTATATAGATATGATTTTGTGATCGTAGAATTTATACCACAAAAATGTAAACGCGGTGACTTTTTTCTTAAAGAAAATGGACAATGTCAACTCTCGTTTCAACAGGTCCAAAAGAAATAAAACAAAAATCACATTCGGAAATATTATTACAATTATAATTCTTCATTCTATAGTTCCATCAGACAGTTAATGGACCGACATCACTTGTTGTTGTCTACACACACAATAACTGAAGAAAAAAAAAAAGACACTCTATATCGAATATTACCAAATTACCCCTCCAATCTTCAATTCTTCTCCACTGTATTCATAGCTAGATCAGTCCACGACGCGTCACCACTCCTCCGAAAATCCGAACCCAAACCCGCACCCGGATACCAACGCGACCCGGTTTCGTACATAATATTCGAAGCCAAGAGCGACCCGAAACTCCCACCACTCGGATCTCCAACCGGTAACCCGTATAACATCCGGTTCGAATTCCCCGTAACCTTGCCTTCTTCCTCTGATTTCGGGTCCGAGCTACGATGATCAGGTTTCTCATCGGGAACAGCGAGAGTTTTATTCTTGAGGCTGCTCGACGGAGAAGAAGAAGAAGATCCGGATCGTTTGCTGTTCTTGCGTGATCCGCCGCCGACGGGGATGTTACGTAAAGAGCCGCCTTTGGTCCAGTAACGACGGCAGTTTTTGCAAAAGTGACGGGGCTGTGACAGATTGTAGTTGTTGTAGTAACAGAATTTGGTGTTGGGTGAGTCACAGCGAGGGCACTTTAGCTGCTGCTCTTGCTCCGGTAACTCGGGCTGTTTTGCCGCCATCATCATTGATTGGTGGTAATACGCTGCTGCTGACGTCAGATCCTGCATTTTTTTCCCCGGGAAAGTACAAAACAGAAAGAAAATAAACGAGAATTCTGTTTTTTTTCTTTTCTTGTTACTGTAACTTTTCCTCTGAAACAGAAAACAAAAGTGAGGTCTTTCTTGGACGTAGAAATCTTTTTGTTCTAACTTCTATAGAAGAACAAATGTATGATATCTAATTTCTGCAGAGCTTTTAAAAAGGAGAAAGGTGGAATATTTTTGGTGTGGCAAATTGCAATTTATGATGAATGGGGTTATTGAGGAAGAGAGATAAAGAGTGGAGGGAGATATTTGGTGGGTTTTAGTGAGAGAGAGTTTTTTCTTCTATCACAAAATGACAAGTTTAACTCTTTTTTAGTTTTATAGTTTACATGTGGTCATGGTCATGGTCATGGCTTTGTAAGATAATAATGTATATCACCGTTTACTATTGTGAGAGAAAATTCGTTTGCAATCTATATAACATTTTTTTTGGGTGAGTATCTATATAACATTATAACTTAACATGATAGAAAAAAATTAAAAATATACCTTCAGATACCCCAAAAATAATTTTTGGTTTCTTATATATTATCACTATTTTTTCTATCCATATAATTCTTCCAAAAATAACATAAATTCTAAAGTAAGTTTTAAGAGTTTAGTTTTGATAGTTTAAACTTAATTATATAGGTCTATCTTATTGATGGAAAATTTGTATTTTTATGATTAGGATGGAAAACAAAACTAATGATGATATGATGAGAAAGAAAAAAACTTGTTTTAGTGTTATATACCAGGAGAGACTTGTCGTAAAATAACTTTTTTTTTTTTAAAAAAAAAAAAATTGTAAGTTTGACTTGTATTAGCTGGAAATTGATCCATTTTGGGAGACTGCCACGTCACCTCCCAAGAAAGCGACTTCTCTCTGAAAACCGGTAAAAGCAGTCAAAATTTTCTATGTCTTAAGCCATTTCTTCCCGACTCTGTTTCACTCGTCACAAAATTCTGTATTTCTTCTGGTTACCTCTCAGTTAAGTACAAGTGTATATAGCAAAATAGTAGTAAGTTTGTTGCTGTAGATTTGTGATAGCTGGGTCCTTGAAAGGTTTGTCTCAATATTACAGAGTAAATATAAAGCCTTACGTACGTTATTACTATAATTATACCTAGTTACTATATAGAGCAAACAGAGACTAATAGTTATTTATAGTATCATTACTCATTAGACTTGAGAAATAGAAAAATATGAGAACTAGCGAGCGTCAAAAGCCGAAATGGTGATCTGATTTATCGAGGAAGACTCACACTCTTGAGGCTCTCTGGGCGACGAGGAGGATGATCCAGTCTCCTTAGGCGATTTAGGCTGGGGGATATCGGCCGTTTCGCTTTCGAGCATCAAACACACGGACAACATCGTTGGCCTGTCCTCTGCGTCATGCTGGACACAGAGCAAACCAATCTGAATGCAACGAATCACCTCAAGCTCACTTAGATTATTTCCAGATGGTGAATCCTTGATGGCCTGGTCTAGCATCTCCATCCCGTTTCCTTCCTTCCACTTGTTCCATATCTATTCACACACACAAAACAAAACAAAACAAAAAAAGAAAACAAAAAGCATTTAAAAAAGTGTATTGTATTACTACTGTTTAATGTCGTTTTTGAAGATGGTTTTAAAAGCTTACGACGCATAAGAGGTTATCTCCATCATGGTGCTTAGGGTACTCTTTACATTTAATACCTGTGACGATTTCAAGAACCATGACCCCAAACAATCTAAAAATCCTATTTCAAAATTGTATTTCACCTTGACATTATCAATACAATTCCAAATGACAAAAGCTCATTGAAGAAAGGTTAAAAAAAAACAAAAAACTCCTTATATACACAGTTATTGTATTACGAATTACTTTTTTTTGTCAAACTACGGATTACTCTTGTTTATTTCTTAAAAAAAAGTAAAGGGGTCTCAAAAGTAAATGAAATCTCTTTTTTGCAAACTTTTTTTTATATATACTAAAGATAGCAAATGAATGGGTTCTATAGACACTTATTACGGATTACTAGAGGTGTCAATCGGGCCAGCCCGCGTCCGCCTGGACCTGCCCATTGGGCATCTTCCTTTTGATATGTCCGCGCGGGTTGGCCCGCCGCGGGTTGCGGACAAATTTTTTAGGCCCAAGCCCGCCCCGCATGTTTTGGGTTTAGGGTTTAGGGTTTAGGGTTTAGGGTTTAGGGTTGCGGGTCGACCCGCGGGCTGGCTCAACATATTTAAGCAAAATTGTCAATCTATTATAGTTTCCATCTCTATGCTCCACGTTGAGCAAGTTGAGTGATCGTTCTGTAGTTTAAAGGTTATAACTTTAGATCAGAACAAGCTTCAACGTTTTCTTGTCTTGTCTACTTCTTTTTTGGTCACTTCCATCAACTATAAAAAGCAAAGTTAGTGAAATATCCATTGCAGGAGCTGGAGAGAGCTTCTCCTCTTTCTTCTTTGAAACGAGTTTCTCAAATTCTGTTTTTAAAACCGAAAAGACATACATGAGTAACAATTTGATTTAAGATAACAAAGAGATGATATCATACAAGTATATGACCAACATTATAAAGATACATCATACATGCATCTTATTGTGTCACGATCAAAACTCGAAACTTCCATTACCATTAACACTCGTCAAAGAAAAACCTCATGTAACAATAATAAGAATAGAAAGAAAAAACATGAACTTTGAGGCAGAAAATCAAAAAGAATAAATCAGAAAATGAGAAGAGTTTCCACGATTGGTTTAGACGGCTAACAAAGCAAATAAATTTGAAACTCCTAACCTGCCAGCGTCCAAGAAACTCGATAGCGTTGTTTTCTAATTCAAGCAAAGCAATTGAACGAAGAATCCAGTAGCAAAACCAAGGTCAACTGTCCAAAAATCCAAAATCCAAGTTAATCTAGTTGGCATCATAAAATCTAAACAAACTCTTGATTCTTGAACATGTGAATTTCTAAATTCTAACCAAATATGTACGAACTTTAAAGGAACATCTAAATTGTCTCAGGTGATTGCCTAAACGAAGAGACTCAGGAAGAAAAAAAACAAGTTTGGAACTTCAGACTGTAGCCATGGAAACAACAGACCAATCACGTTTGATATCCAAAACCACAAAGCATTATCTTTTCACAAGGAGAAAGGTACGTACTTAGCATCTAAGGACGCAAACGATGGACCTAACTGCCTTAACCCATTCATCAGATTACCCAACTGCTTGTCTCGCTTACTCTCCAGCCTAGAACAAGAATTTTCAAAGAAAGATTCATCAGATTATGAAGAATGCTAGTATAAGTCAAAATCAAAATCATCGACATAGAATCAAAATATAAGCTGGGAAAAACTTAAGTAGGTGCGTAATCAATCTTACGTTTATGTCGGCAAGACATCTTAGGGAATGTACATACTCTGAATTTCTTCAATTGTAAGCTTCCATGGAGCTTGAGAAACACTTTGAAATTTGAAGAAATTCGGAAACAAGAATTCTTTTTGCAAACGGAGAGAAATTCTATTTCAAACATAAATTGGAAACAACTCTGAGTTTTCTTTTGTCGGAATCTCCAGTTCTCCATGCCTCGTTGGGATCGAAGTGAAAAATTGTCGGAAACTAGATTTGTGGTCGGGCTGCCCGCGTGCCCGCAAACCCGATGCGGGTTGACCCGCCCAGAACCGACGCCCGTATGGGCCCCGCCCGCTAGGTCGCTATTTTGCGGACATATTTTTTTGGGCCCGAGCCCGCCCTGCAATTGTCCATATGGGTTTTGTCCGTGGGTTTCGGGCTTGACTTACACCTCTACGGATTACTCTTTGTTTTTCCGGGTCAAACTACGGATTATTCTTATTTACTTCTTAAAAAAAACTAAACCAAAACTCCTTGTATATATAACATGAATGCAGATGATTATATAAGGAAACAAATCCCATAAGAAAAAGACAAAAGAGATATTTAAGAAAAATGGTCAAACGTGTGCAACTTGTTTGCCTCATCACATTTGTGATGATCATCATGTTGATTTCAACAGGTAATAAACATTATGACATATGATCATTTCACCAATTTTTTTCATTAGTCGTTCGTATTTGCTATTGACTTCTCATTTCTCAAATAATGCACAATAATTACCATATTAAACTTTTTATTTATCAAATTTTTACCATCTATTATTATTGTTATTTCAGTGAAACCAAAACCGGAAACGAAGAAAAACCTCCAATGAAACAATGTATACTACGACTCGAGCTTGATGCACGGGGTATTTCTCCATCTCTTGAAATCCGGTGCGTTGACTTTTGCGCAGATGCCGGTTACGACTTCGGAAAATATATAGGTACAGGCAAAAGAATTTGTGAATGCACATTAGATGCCCATAAACTACGTTTAAATGGCGAAACATGTAAAAAATAATTCTGATTCAACTGACTACTTGATATTAATTATTATTGTAATAATTGACGAGGTTATCGTCAGTGAAAAGTGAAAATGTTTGATTAAAATTTGGTATATATGTTTGTTGGGTCTGTCTTACAGCTCATATTTCATTGTTTATCTTTGACATGTTTTATCTATTTGTTTCTCAACATCAATTTTTCTTTTCTATTATCTCAAGTATAAATGTATTATAAATTTGGGATTTATGGGTTTGTATCTTGAAAAAAAACATTATAGATATAATATGGAGATTTTATAACTGTGGAGTATTCAATGTACGATAGAATGCAAACACTTGTTTAAGAAAAAACTGAATGCAAAAACTGATCATAACCAGTATCTTTTTGAGAGAGAGAGAGAAGCAAACTTAAAATCCATTCATAAAATTACCTTCGTCTTTGTCTTCTTGATCACGGCCTACTTTTCTCCATTTTAACACCTTTTTGGCTCTTCTTAAACCCCATATTGTATCCTTTTTTATGTCAGCTACTTTCCAACACTTCGATGATCATTGACCCCAACGATCCAGATTCAGTTAAAACTTCAACTAGCAGTAAAAAGAAGAATTTAAATATTAAATCAATGAGGGCACACAAACACAGAAGCTTAGAAGATATGATGTCGGTGATTTTCAGAATTCACAGAGAGACAAACAAACAAAAATATAGCGTGCATAAGAAGCAATGTGTTATTTACTGGATTGCAGTCAACAAGTGTCACCACCATTAGGTCTTTAGGTTTGGAACATCGAATCACCACCACTGGATTGGAGTCAACAAATCAATGGTATATTCATAGAATTTTTTGAACCATATCCGTCATCCGAAATTAGCATATACTTGTCATTCTTGAGATGATAAAAGCCAAAGAAGAACATAGTATTGGTAAATGAGGTTGAGTAGGTTGAGGAGTGTAAGAGGAATTTCCAGGCGTTCTCCTTAACACACATCACAAGGACGAAGAACACAAAGGCAGACAAGCTAGCACGGAGTGTTCGAGATCAGCCTTACAATGTGTGCTACATAAACTCAGTTCCACCGGCTTTGATTCCCGAACCGTTGTAGGAATTTAAGCTGTTGTAAAAAAAAAAGAACATAGTATTGGTAAATGAAATGTATTATTTTAAATTTTTTAATAAGTAAAGAAAATAGAGAACAAGTTCAACAAAAGAATCAATAAAACAATGATTACACAAAGACCAGAAGAAAAAAAAAGATAATAAGAATTTAATCTAATATCCAATCCAAAAAAAGTAATAAGAGATTAGGTTACTAAAATCACGATTTCTTCCAATCGGATTTTTCTTTCTTTCTTGGTCTGTAAAAGTTGTTTCCAGGTGAACTGAATTCTACAATTCAAAAGATAAAAATAACCGACTTTTTTCACTGCTTGCCTTTTCCATGCCATTTCCCCAGAAGATCTTCATGATGATTACAGAGCTTATGTGATCAATGCTGTTGTTGATGTTGATGATGATGATGATGACTAGAAAAAACAGAGCATAGAAGAAGGAAATGCGCCTTTTTTTTGCTTCTCGAGTATTTATCTTAAGCATAGTACATGTACAAGCTATTTGCAGCGGCGCAAGCAATTGAGTTCTCGCTTGGATGCCATGCAAGATGCAGCAACTTTGTCGCGTAATCAAGAGAACTTATATTGCCATCGACTCCGGCACTCTCTGCTCCTGTTTTTCACCCTTTCAGTATTTACTAATTTGACAGCTTAATGAGAAAAGAGGAAGAGAGAGAGACTGACCTCTACGCGTTATATTGCATAAGGATCTGGATGGCCTAGAGGGAATTGGAACATGTCTCCTAAGATAAGGCACACCACAAATTCCATCTCATCAACACTCAACATTGAGAAGAAGGAGAAGATTCAGAACAATAACTCCTAATGGCTTTACTAAGTTTACCTCGTTGGGTTTCTGCTTGCTTCTAAGGTTGCAGTCTCATTACTTCCCGGGGAAACACCAAACACTCGGAACAGATTGCTGGATAGCGTATGAAAGCCAAAAGGAATGGTTATACAATATTCATTTGAAACTGCGAATAACAGATTTAAAAAAAAAAGATGCTCTGTTTTCCTCGGGGCATACCTGTAAGAACCTGTAGCTGCTCGCATCCCATTGCCACTTATACAGCACTCGAACTTGTCAAAGATGGAATCATTTTCATATAAATCACAGAGCTGGAAATGGCCACAGGAAAGGGAATATCAATCAGCTATGCACAAACTTGTCAAAATGCAGCTCTCTCAAAGTATGGGAAACTGACCTTTGGTTTCAAAT